ACTCGTTTGGTCAGGAATTCATTCGCACAGTCCCGGAAATGCAAGACTGCAGGAGACTGTGCCCTGGCTGATCATGTCCATTCACCTGCTCAGACTGGCAGAGGGCCAGCAGCAGCCTGTAGGAGTGGCTAGATGGACCACACTAGCCACCTGAATGATAGAAGAAGAAACAAAAAACATTAAAGCAAAACTACTGTGGTCCTAAGCGAGGCAGAGGCAAGATTTGTGTGTGAGGGGAAAGAATCGCAAGGTCAAGCTGGAAAGCTGCTTGAAGCATGGTTGTTCTCTGTGGCTGAAGGCAGCCATGGGAGTGTCTGTATGATAGGTGTGCAGATAAGGAAACATCTTGCTGGCTGGAGAGCTCAGACCCAGGGTCGGTAGAGAGTCTGTAAATAAGTATAGAGTAATAAAGTTACAAGAGAGTTCTTTCCAGACAAAAGTCTGTCCCACTTGAATTCATTCACCACAAAAGGTGCAGAGTGAGGGACTTTTTTTCGCAGACGGGGCACCAGCAGCCTCTGAAAAACAAGCCCTACCTTAAATCTTTGTGCATGTATTGATTTTCTTCTTTTTTTTTTTTTTTTCTTACATGTTTATTGAGACGGTGACTTTTAAAATTCTGGGCAAATACAAGCCACCCTTATAATAAGTGCTTGGCATTACCCAACACGGTGAGATCTCTCCCAAATTTCCACTGCTTTTCAGCTTGCCTGCATGGGACCAAGGAACATACTGAGTGTAACGAAATGCTTGTAGGCAAGTAACTGTCTGTATTCTCTCGTTGTGTGACACTAAGTCTGCAGCAAGACTGTGCTGCATACCCCATGGACTAGCACAAACAGACGTGTTCCCAGAAATCAGTAGAGCAAGACAGCTCACAAAGCTGTCCCTACCCACTCCTCACAATTCCAGCCATGCTGGTTTGGTCCAGGCTGGAGGCAAGCCTTCCCACCTCTGTGGCTCACTCACCAGCAGCTGAGAAATGCCCAGGAGCAGCTTCCTAGAATGTCTCTCAGCTGTTCAGGTTTGCATGCTGCAACCTCTCCATCTCATGCTCAATCCTACAGCAAAGCACTGGGAACACATGGTGAAAGTGTTAATCTTATGCTCCATGCCCAGGGCTTCACTACCATAACTGTGTAGACATGCCCAGAAGAAAAAGAAGTTTTGGGGATGCAAGACAGACCTCTCACTGCTTGGGGAAACAAAGCAGTGTGTGCTCTTTCACTCTGTCCTACACAGAGGCCTTCCTGTGTCTTCTGTCCCTGACCCCGTGCCCTAAGTCTCTGATACCCATCAGTGTGTTCCATCACTCCTGCCTTCTGGCACTGTTTTGGACACTGTTTCTTCCAGATTAGTGGTTTTTTTTCATTATTTCTTTAGGTGCTTTTGCTGTAGTCCAGATTTGCTGGCCTCTCGCAACTTTCAAAGCCTCTTTGACTTTCTTGTGACTTGACTGTGTCCTGACCTCCTTCTCTGCCTGCTCCTGTTTTGCTGGCACTATAGCTTTGATCCCACACTTGCTCCAAGTGCTGGAGTCACGTCTACCTCTTGCCATGGTGAAACCCTAAAGCTGCTTGCCCTCCTTTACCTGGGCAGCTTGGGACTGCAGACAAGCACTGCCTATTCCTGCTGGAAGCAGAGCAGGTTTGGCTGCAGCCCTCAGTTTAGCAAGCAGCCACATCCTCCTTTGCCTCCATCTCATTCCAAGAACAGTGGGGATGCAGCTAGAGCAGCTCAGGCTGTCTCCTTTGTCAGGAGGAGTCTGGGGAGGAGACCCTACCGGCTTTGCCAGGGCTCCAGCTGCACACATGGCCACACTGAACATGCTCCATTATCAGAGCCTCCCCACAAATGTTGAGGAGACCATTGCTGCAGGGACCTCATGGGTGACACTGCATGAAGTGCTGAGAAGCTTCTTGTGCCCAGGGACCTTAGGTCTACCAGTTTAGGATGCACTTGGGGCTGGGGCTGTGAGAGTGGCCGTCAGTGTGGCAAGTGCCAGGCCACGGCACTTCCTCCATGCGTGTCAGGAAGGCAAGCATGCCTCATGCAGTTGTAGGCATCCATGCTGCCTGAGGCCTGAGCAAAGCTGACAAGCTCACAGAAGAGTTGTCTAATGTGATTCAGAAAGAAACAGCTGTATGTCCCCCAGCAGTGGCCTGATCATCCAGGTTGTATCTCCTCACGTTCAACCAGGACAGGAAGCTTCAGGAGCGTTGCTAGTATCTGGTGGGTTCCAAAGAGGCTCCCAGTTCCCACTGCAATTGTGGGACTGTGGCCTGTTCAGGTCACAGGACAAAGGACCCCTTTGCCCCCCACCACATATAGCATGGCAGGCATGCCCTGGGGAGTTAAGGAGAGGCTCCATGTCCTTGAGGCTTAGGGGACAACAATGGAGTGATTGACCACAACTGCTGCAAAAAAACCCCAAACTCATTTCAATACCAGAGGGAACCAGAGGATGTCTTTGCTTCAGACAGACTGGCTGAATCAGATAAGTATAAAGAATAGTTATATAACTGTCTTTGACCTTAAGAAATTTGGACTTCAAGCAGAACCAGTTTTGGAAGCATACTTGCTGTTAAAATAATACAGCTTGTGTATGTATTAGATCTGTTTAATGCTGTGACCTTATGATTCCAATCTAACCACGTATATATGTAATTTTTTTTTTAAATTCAGGCAACTATAACAGGTATTTAACTTATCGGTTTACAATTTCTGTATAGTCCTGCCATTCTCTTAGCACAGGACTTTTCCTGCTGTGACTCCACCTATGGTAAGAGGTGGAGCAGTGAGAACACCTCGAGCTCTAAGGCAAGCCTGAGGAGCAGAGCCACACATCCTGATGGAAGAATCTCACTCCACAGCAGTTGACATTTCAGATTCCACGTACATATGGCTTGCTCCACCAGGTCCAGTGGGTGAAGAGGGATGAAATATGCTCCTCAGTGTGGTGTCTGTTGGACAAGTGTCTTAACTTCATGAGTTCTCAGCTTGTATTATTTTTTTTTTTTTATAAAAATAGCATTAAAAAAAGCATGCTTTTCAAGGCCCAGGATAGCGCTCTGGGCAGTGGCATGGGTACTGAGTTTACAAGGCCTCAGGGTAGGGGCTATGAAGCTTACTCTGTGTGAACTTCTCTTGGCCTATAACTTTGTTTTACTTGTTTTAGCTATAAAAACTAGATTTAGTGTTTAGGCAACACAATTAAGTACAAAAATGTCAAAAACAATGAACAAAGGACCTTTAAAGAGGGAGTTCTAGGCTTGAGCTGGCTGCCACGTTCATAGTCCCTCCTGAAAATTAGAGACAGCCAGCACTGTAACAATACACATATTCTAGAGACCAGTTATGAGATTCACCACTATATTGTGATTTCATAATATATTTGAAATGCAATAGTCTGCAAAATTTAATGTGTATTTATACTGACTGCTTTATTACCCTATTGAATGAAAAACCCTCATAAACATAAACAGCTTCAAATGAGTAAACTTTGTATTAAACATTTGATCCTCCATGTGAGGATTACCTAAAAAAGCCTGGTCAGAAATCCTGGACTCTGATGAGACCCAGTCTCTGGAGGCTGTCATGGTCACAGCAGAGGGTTTTTGTCACTAAGTACTTGTGGTAGTCATCATTGGGAGCCCCTTGCAGGCACAGCTCAGGTGAGGTTCAGCAGTTCTACCTCTTCCCTGGCATGTGCCCCTGCAGACTCCCTCTGCGGGGCCAGCTTCTGACTTGGCTTTGGCAGCTCTCCATCGTCATGCAGCCTGACCTGATATTGCCTCCAGTCTGGCTCTCAGAAGCAGACATTGCAGAGAGGGGAAGGCTGCTGCAGTCTGAAACAGACGAACAGCTGTTCAAAGCAGAACCCGTGGGATCTACAGGTTTGAAGTATGGATGGAGCAAGGTGCCCATGCAGATGCACAGCACCTGGAGCTTGGCAGCAGCCTGAGTGTGAGCTGAGCAATCACAAGCCCTATTGAGAGGAACTGCACCCACCAGTGCCTCCTTGATGGAACGTGCAACAATGCAGTGGTTTGTACAGTGTTAACACAGAGCTCCAGCTGTGCAACTAAATTCAGTGAAGTTTTCTGTACTGGGAAACTGAGGCATTGAAGTGCATTAATTGAAGACCTGCACTGTGTACAGTTCTGGTGTCCCCAACATAAGGGCATGGAATGGTTGGAGCGAGTGTAGAGGAGGGTCACGAAGTTGCTAAGAGGACTGAAACACCAGCCCTCTGAGGACAGGCTGAGAAAGCTGGGGCTGTTCAGAGCAGAGAAGGTTGTGTGGAGTATCTGGATACCTTCCAGTATCTCATGGGGTCTACAGGGAAGCCAGAAAGGGACTCACTCCTCATCAGGAACTGTGATGACAGAACAAGGAGTAATGGGTACAAACTGAAAACAGGAAAAGTCAGGCCAGGTGTTGGGAATAAATTCTGTACTGTGAGGGTGGTGAGATACCGAAACAGGTTACCCAGGGAGGCTGTGGATGCCCCAACCCTGGCACCGTTCACTTGGACAAAGCCTTGAGCAACCTGGTCTAGTGGGAGATGCCCCTGCACATTGCAGGGGTGGCTGGGACTAGAAGACCTTTAAGGTCCCTTCCAAGCCCTTAAAATTCCATGACTTTATGGTTCCCCCCAGAAGAGATGCACTGTGCATTCATTCCTCAGCCTCTCCCTCAAGAAGTTGATTTTGGCTGCCGTGGCCTTATGACAGGCCTGAGGACTCACCGGCCCCGCGGGGAGCGGGCACGGGCGGGGCAGAAGGGCCCCCGCCCCCCGAGCCGTGCGCGGCCCCGGGCGCGACACGTGTCGGTTCTCTGGCGGGCAGGACGCGGGGTCCGCCGGTGGCCCCGGCCGTGCGGGCGGGGCGGGGGCGGCGGGCGGGCCGGGCCGGGCCGGGCCGGGCGGGCCGCGCATGGGCGGGCGGGAGCGGGGCCGGGCCCGCGGGGCGGGGGCGGGAGGCTGCGCCGTCCCTCAGTGCCGGGCCCCGCGCAGAGCAGCGGCGGTGGCTCCGCCCGGCCCCCGCTACGGCCAGGCCCGCGCCGGCGGCAGCGAGAGGGGAAGAGGCTCTGGCTGGTGTCTGAAAGCCCCTGAGTTCAGGAGGTGGTGAGGAAGCAGCGGAGCCCCTCCGGGCGTAAGTCCTGGCGGAGTGAGGGGAGAGGCGGCGCGCAGGGACGGGCGCTGCCTGCCTGCGGGAGGCGGCTCCTCCTCGCTGTCTGCGTGGTGACAGAGAAAGTGTCCGACCTCAGCGGGTTAGTGACTGCGTTGTGCCTTCGGAGGAGACCTGTGTTTGTAGTCCGCTGACAGCGTGGCTGTTAGGGAATGCGTGGGAAAGCTGTGTCTGCACTTCCTTTTTTTCACTTAGCCCGGCCAGCGATCCGCATCGCGGGTGCTGCTTTGCGCCGGAGCTGTGCTCATCTCTTCTGAGCATACTGAGAAAAGTTTCGGTTCGGATGCTGGCAGAGATGGTTTGAGCGATATGCGCTGGCTTGGCGGTGATGAGGCGGCTCGGGCTGTGTTTCCAATGAAGTGTCCTCCTGTCCGGAGGCAGTGAGCCGCTGGGGGAATGTCATAACTGCTGAATGACATAATCTTTAAGCAGCTGACCACAAAAAGGATTTTTAAAACCTCGGAAACCGCTCTGAGCTGTGTAGCTTTCTGTTAATTTATCAGTGTTGTCATCGTTACAAGGAGTAGTGGGTACAAACTTGAAAGCCTTGCAAGTCTTCTGCATTATTGCGGGGTGGGAATAGGAAGCTTGTCAGGTGTAAGGTTAAGACTGGATTGAGTTTAACCTTTGTACCCTAGAATTTGCCACCTCGCTTAACTAAATGAATTGTCCTCATGACTACTCCGCATAATATCGTTTAGGAGGATATAGTGCATGGTTTGCTGTTTGCTGCTTCTGATCTAATTCAACTCTTTAGTATTGGTATACAACTAACCTGTCTGATAATGGCATGATGTCATTCCCCCATGATCCTACTCTCTTTCTTTTTGTAGTGGAGTTTCTTCATGTGAATAAATTTTGAAACTGCCTTCCTGGGTTATTGTAAGTTTTCTTCATTGTCACTCTTTGCCCAGTTGTAGGGAATATACTGTTAATTTTTCCTGAGCAGAAAGTTAAACTCAGGTAGTTCAGATAAGAGGACTTTCTTAGCCATGTTAACCAAATAAGAATTTGGGTCTATTATTTAAAAGAAAGAGTAAACTCCCCCAAAAAGATTCTCAGTTTCTGTGTCTCCGGTATGAATGTGACTTGGGAACACAACTGTAGACAGAACTGTGCTGTTTTTCAATACTTGAGTGTTTGGTTTGTGTAAACGGTCACAACTTTAAACCACTTACACATTGCCTGTCAATGACATCTCCATGACACTGAGTGGGTCCAAAGGAGATATGAACCTCCTGAGTGTTTTTCTTTCAGCAGGTGACAACCACGTCTTCTCACTCTTTGAAGCTCAGTTCACGTGCTGCAGAGTCTCTAAAAGGATGAGAGAAGGATCCAAGAGCCCAGTGTAGCTTTTGGCCGTTGCCCTGTGCAGGTGTGCAAGTTCAGCGTGTGCTCCTCCCCCTGGGTGTGGCACCTCTGTGCCCGTAGCTGAGCAGGGGAGGATGCGAGGGCAGGTGTGGCAGAGATTGTTCCATGGTCAGTGAGTGAAGTGCGCTGGAGCAGCAAGGGCAGAGATTGCAGGTTTAAGGAACCACGCGTGTGTGCCCACGTGTGCAGGCAGTGCTGTGTGTGGAGGTGCAGGTACGTGGGTGTGCCTGTGTGGAAATAGAAGTGTACACACAGAGAGACACAGTCAGGTTAGTAAAGTGCTGTGTGTGCCTGAAGTAAAGCTGTTCAAGAAACGGTGAAGGAAAGGACTCGATGCTGTTCTTCCTTGCCTGGCCCCTGAGTTGGGCCGTCACAAAGTCGGGTGCAGGAAGGGAGCGACTGAAGTGTGTGTGGTGGCACCTGAAATGTGCTGAGGGTTGGGATTTCTCCTTCTTTTGGCCTTGGTGTGTTGTGCAGAGAGCAGGGCAGAGCAGCCTTTAGCAGAGTGTGGAAGGGTGGTGCTGCAGCTGGAGCCGCTGCCACCACTGAGGGAGAGCATCGATGGAGCAGGTCCGTGGGCAGCAGGTGCTTGCCTTGGGGTTCTGGGGAGTGGGAGACTCTGCTGTTGTGGCCTGAGCTGGAGCATCTTGAGGGCAGTGAGATGGCTGTGCAGGTGTTGCAGACATTAGTTGGTAGGGAGTGAAGCTGAGGTGTTTGAAGCACACGAGTGTGGTCAGTGTTGGGACTTGAGGCTGCGTGCAGCAGCTGCTTGGAGAGCAGGGTTGTTCCTGGGTTGTGCGAGAGCTCCATCCAGGTCCGGTCCCCTGCCGTGTGGGGCAGTTCCTGTGGCAGGAGTTGCCCTGTGGCGAGCAAGGGCCTGCAAGCAGGACACCTGGCCAGGAGCACTTGTGCCTGGCATTCCATAGCTGGGTGCTCCTGGAACGCCCCAAGTGCGTGCAGGCCTGTGAGCTGAGGGGGCTGGGAGGGCTTTAGGTAGTGCTAGCCCCCCTTTGCAAACACCCCTGTGCTGCCCAGGCTTCCCAGTCTGGAGCCCTGGCTGGTGGGTTTCTGCCACCATTTTGTGCAGGGAAGCTGCCATTTTGTTCAGTGTTGCAATTCCTGCTTCCTTGTACCAGGAAGTCTTCAGATATCCAAGTATTTTTATACACTGCATACAATATGTCCATAGTTAGAAATCTGTGTATGAAGGAGTGTATCAGTATATATCTCTACACAGATATGTTGGTGATATTTGTTTCTAGAGGTATATAAATGAAACAGACTGGTACAATTATAGGCATAAGGTCGATAAAGCAGTCTTTGTAAAGAGTTAATGGAATGAACCCTTTGATGTGAATAAAATGTGATGACACCAAAGTAAAAGGCAGGTTCATGCCTTCCGCTTTGCGTGGCTGCAGAGAAAGCATTAACGTGTTGTGGGGGCACCTAAGAAGTGTCGCAGAGAACTGGGCCGTGTCTGAGGGCTGTGGGCCTCTGTGAGTTGGCCACCAGGCAGGCGTGGGCAAACACCCTGTCCTGTCTGCAGAAGAGATGTGTCCGTGAGCCAGGCTGAGCAGGCTCTATGAGGGGGCAGAGCCCGATGGGCTGGTGGTGCAGAGCATGTCAGTGGGGCAGGCTGTGGGCATCCCATGGCCCTACCAGATGTGGGCAACACAGGCTGCAGAAACAGAAGGCCAGAACCAAATCCCAGTGTCAGAGGAACATTTGCCTGGGGACCTCTGTTGGGTTTTCTCTCTGAAGAGCATCAGTGGAGTCAAGGCATTGTGCGCCTGTGGGTAAGAAATTGCATGACCCGGGTGCATGCGGTTTCCACGTTGGAGCTGGCATATTGGCATTGGTGTGGGGATGCAGGCTCAGGTGAGGGATGAGCAGCCATAGTGTCACCATGGGGTACAAGTGGAGGGAGTGCTGGGTGCCAAGGTGGGGCGTGGTAGGCCCTTGTCCCACTTCCAGTGGAAGTTCTGGCCCTACGGGTAGTAACGTGTCATCGAATCACAGTATATCCTGAATTGGAAGGCACCCACATGATCATCAAAGTCCCACCTCCTGGGGATGTCCTGCAGCTCCCTGGCCCTGCGCAGGACAGCCCAAAGAATCACATAATGTGCCTGAGGGCATTGTCCAAACAATTCTTAAACTCTGGCAGGTTTGGTGCTGTGACCACTTCCCTGGGGAGCCTGTTCAGTGCCCAACCACCTGCTGCATGAAAAAACTTTTCTTGACAGCCAACCCAAACCTCCTCTGACACGGCTTCAGGCCATTCCCTTGGGTCATGTCACTTGTCACCAGAGAGAAGAGAAGCCTGCCCCTCTGCTTCTCCCTGTGAGGAAGTTGTAGACTGCGATGAAGTCTCCCCTCAGTCTCCTCCAGGCTGAACAGACCAAGTGACCTCAGCTGCTCTTTGTGTAGCTTCCCCCTTCATGATCTTCATGACCCTCCTTTAGACACTCTAATGGTTCAATATCTTTCTTACATTGTGGTGCCCAAACTGCACATAATATTTAAGGTGAGGCTGCTCCAGTGCAGAGCAGAGTGGGACAATCCCCTTTGACCGGCTGGCAATGCCTGATGCCCCCCAGGACAGGGTTGGCCCTCCTGGCTGCCAGGGCACTGCTGACTCACGTTCAACCTGCCATCCACCAGAACCCCCAGGGCCCCTTCCACAGCACTACTCTCCAGCATCTTGTTCCCTATACACACAAGCCAGGGTTGCCGTGTCCCTCGTGCGACATCCAAGCACTTGTCTTTGGTGGGCCAGTTACTAAGCAGGCCCTGCCCCTCTTCTGGCCATGCTGTCTGTCGTGGTGGTCTGGCAGAGCCAGCCCATGCATGAGGGTTACTGTGCTCTGCCAGTGGCGTTTTTTTAAAATGTCATGTCCCTTGTGTTCCATACCACATGATGGTTGTCTGGCACAACGAAGGCCCTGTATGTCTACCCAGAAGTATCACAGTCTTCACTGAGCTGCTGAATCCTTGCTTGTTTGGGAGGGAGGGAGATTGAATAGTAAAAGCTGCTAGTTTTAGCCTCTGAATGTAAAAATGCTTTTTTCTTTTTTTTCTTTTGGGGGTGGTTATAGGTGAAGATGCAGGAGCCAGAACTTGTTGTGAAAGCACTCCGAGCTGTTCTTCATGCCTTTAAAAATGGCATACGTTTGTCAGAGCTTCAAAGTGAATACAAATCTCTGACCAACGAGTTGATTCCCTTCAGGCACCTAGGATATGACACACTGGAAGGCTACTTGGAGAGTATCCCAGGAGTGGTCAGAATGGAAGAGAACAAAATGGGAGAGGTAAGAATCAGTTACAGTTCGGAAATGGCTTTTGTGTTTGCAAAGTGTTTGTTGTTCATAACGTCCTCTCTTTTTATCCTGTGGATTTCTGAGAAAAATAACCATAGTATGCATATGGTGCTGGGAGAAGTGGAAGCTGTGACACAGATACCAAGTGCCCCTTATTTTCCTGCCTGTGCATTCCAACTGTGAAGCTGTGTATGCAAAAGGTGTAAAGTTGCAGGGTGTCTTCCTGGCCATGTGAGTTATGGCTGGAAAGATAGTTTGTGTGACTTTAGAGCTCTGACCCCTCTCTCAACATTTCTGACTCTGGAGGAGCTATTGATGGCATGTCCTGGGACCTTAAAGAAGGTTAACTTGTGTGTGTGTGTAGCTTGATCATCTCTTCTGGGTGGGGTTTAGGATCATCTCTTTCCTACAGTGAAACTGTTTTGAATGCTGTTGCTTATAAGCCTGACAGTGTGTGCTTTGGGCCTAGGACTCATTTGTCATGAGTTGCAGAGCATCAGGACTGTGCAGACATGTTGAGGTGAGGAAGAATGCATGCTAGTGAGGTGCCTTGGTGCAAGAATTGCAATTCCTCAGCTTAGGAAGTGTGTGAGGGGCAAGGAGTCATCACACAGGTCAAGGAGAGAGTGGAGCAGAGCTTAGCAGAGAATTAGTGTGGTGGGAGAGTTGTCCCTTATTCCTCAGCCTTGCTACACTAGCCTGTGTCTCTTGGTGGCTGCCACCTTGGAAGCAGCTTGCTAGGACCGCAAACATCCTTGTCCAGTAGTGTGGGGTTCCTGGTTTTGAGTCAGAATGCATTCTCTTGATAGTTGCTGTAGCTGCGTAATATGTAAATAATCTGTCTGAAGCCTCTCCCTCACTTGAGCCGTGTCTGGATTCCTGAAGTCTGGGTAGACTGGCGTAGAGCAGAAAGCTAGCAGATGTTTGGCACTATGTATGGCTACCAGAGCAGGTCTGGAGAGACGGGACTTAAGGCTGAGCTTCCTTGTTTGCTCAGCTGGGTTGGGATGGCGTCTGGGAACTCAGAACTCGATCTCACTCATTACTGTGAAGAGCATGGTAAGAGTCTTCCTGGGTTTTCTACTGATATCTGGAAATGTAGCTGTTTTTAAGCAACAGGTTCCCTAGCTGCATTTTTACAGCTGTCAGAATTTGCCCATTTACAGGAGATAATCAAGTCTGGGATTCTTTTTTGCTCGCTCCAAGCCTGCATTGGCTGCAGCTACATCGGTAGCATGATTGCAGGTACCTCAGGTCTGGGAACATTTGTGATCCTGCAGTTTAATGCTTCCTCGTGGTAGTTCTGGCAAATAACCATCTGTTTCTAACTAGGGCCTTCCAGGGTATAATCTGGTATCCTCCCATTCCCTTGAGAGCCTTGTTTATCCTCTAATACGATGTGTGCTGAGGGCCTTGTGGACTCTTGGGTAGCACTAGAGGCAGTGACTTCCTTGAAGCAGCTGTAACAAGAGTGAAAGGTGACTTTAGGAGGTGAAAAAGGAGAAAGTGACTAAACAGGGATCTTGAAGTGGTTGAGGAGGACTCAGTTTGGTTCAGGAATGTCAACTATGCTCTGCATGACTGAAGCAGCTGAGAGGAATCATCCTGCGAATATACCTGGGAGGCAGGAGAGGCACGAGGACTGAGCCCGTGTTGCTGTTTGATGACCCTCCCGTTGCTGCTGTCCATAGTGTCCCCATGGCAGACATTAAGCAGAGGGTTGCAAGTGTGATTGTGCACTAGTGTTGGCTGGTAACTATTTGGGACTGCTCCTGCATGCTTTCCTGATACAATACCTGGGCCATACGTCACTATAAGCCTTTGCTCTTTGTTCACATTTCTCCAGAGTACTTGAGCTCCATGCTAGGCTGAGACCGTATTTCAGAGTCCACACAAGCCTGCTGTGAGAGCAGGCAGTCAGCCAGCCTCTCTTCATGACTCTGGGAGTGCTCTGATCTCCAAAATGTCTGTCAAGACCCTTGCCTCTTCCTTTAATCTCTTTGTGAACAGTGGTGCAGGAAAGCAAAGGCATGCACATCCAGGGGTCTACTAGCAGTTGATGATCCTGACTGCAGGCTAGGGCTTTCCTTACTGCTAGGACAACTGCCCAAGACATAGCACAGAAAAATGCATTCGACTAGGAATATAGTATAAAGTAGGCAGTAAATAATACAAATTGATCTCAGATTGTCATGTGATACATGCTACTTAAAGTATTTGTGTGAGGTGAATATTGGCTAGGTGAACAGACTGGTTCTGTTGGGGTGGCAATGATACAAATTGTCTTTTATTCCTCTTGCTACTGAATACTAATTTAGCTGGCTTGAATGTAGGGAAGAGGAAAGCTGACAGGTTTTTTTTTGTGCAGTAGATATGGTTTCCAGTTTCCACACAAGATGAGAATTAAATTCAGCCTACAGAAAACACTGCAAGAAGACTCGCATTGAAATACTGTGCACCTGCAACAGGTGATTTTATCATTTCAAGGAACCCTGCTTTGCTTCAATTCATATTCATTCACAAGAAGAATGTAGTTGCACCTTTCTCTAAGAAAACTTTGACTTCTGCTTGAATAACCAAGCCCCTCCAAAAGGGGGAAATGGAAGACTGCTTTTCTGTGCTCATCCAGCCCATCTCTCTACATCTGAATTCATCCTAACTCAAACCAGCATAAACTTAAAATCACTATGATGTGGAAACAAGGGAAGAAAATACTGAAAATTACTTACAACATTGGTGACAGGAAAAACCTGAAACGTACCTGAAATTAAATGTGAAAATGTACATTTATGAAACTATGATAAAATGTGTATGGACAAAAAAACTTTTTATATTGAGACTTTGAGAACAGAGCAAGGTTCAAGGTGACCCATCCCACATTCTTCCACTCCTGTGAGCTAGGAGAATGAGAAAAACTCTCATGGAAATGAGCAGATTTGGGCACCCCTCTGAAAGTGCCAGTACATTGCTATCCGCAGCTTGGGACACAACCAGGAGAAAGTGGAGGTCTGCCCGCTGTTCAGGGCTGTGATCTCTTTGGGGGCCATGGAGAGGTGTTACAACAACTCACACAACTGGCATGCTGCTGTGGATTGACACAGGCTGCTGAGGAATGATGGCCTGCAGTGGCAAGTAGGAGGGGTTTCTCTGAGCCCCTCCAAGTAAGGGAGCAGTGGGAATGCTGGGAGCTCTCCCTTGGGACAGATAATGAGACAGCAAGAGCTTATAAGGACGGGACAGAACAGTGTGGGCAACGTGGTGGCTGTCTGTTACACATGCCCTATTTGGGAAGAAGTGGTAGATAAAGCAGATGATGCCTTTTTCTGACACCTGGAAAAAGCCTTACATTTACAGGTCCTGATCCTCACGGAGGACTTGAGCTACTGCCATACCTGCTGTAGGGACAAGACATCCAGGCATGGGCAATCCAGGATGTTTCTGGGGTGTGCTGATGTCGACATTGTGACACAAGTGATGAATCAGTGAGGAGAGATGCTCTGCTGGACACAGTTCTTCGAAACAAGGAACAGCTGTTTGCGGATGTAAAGGCTGGGAACAGTCCTGTCTGCAGTGGCAAGATGGTGGTGTTTGTGAGCCCAAAAGGAGGGAAACAAAGCAAAAAACAGGATCAAAAATGCAGGACTTAGGGAGAGCAGACTTTGGCCTGTTCAGGAATCTGCTTGGAAGACTCCTATTGAATGCAATCCTGGGGAGAAGAGTGATCTAGGAGAGGTAGTGGACTTTCAAGGATTGCCTCCTCCAATGTCAAGAATGGTCCCTTCCAACAACTGGGGAAAAAAGCAAAGGAGCCAGGAGCACTGACAAAACTGAACCATAAAAAGGAAACATGCATGAGTGGGAGCAGGGAGAAGCACCCTGGGAGGAACATACAGATGCTGCCAAACAAACATGCATGGGCCTAAGAAAGACTGCATTTGTTTCTGACTATTTCAAGAACTTGAAGACCAAGACAGAGAGCTCCCAAAGCACTGACAGTTCTGAGAGCATGCTTCTGAAAAAAAAGTCTTTAAAATAGCTGGTTAAGTGTATAGGTAACAGGAGAAAATACAGGGACAACAGAAAATCTAGAAGAAAGAAGGTACAGCAAATGAAGAAGTTCAACCCTTTGCTGTCTTTCACTTCACTAAAGCTTTATCAAGTCCATGCTCAAGCGGTCGAGCACAGGTTGTTGCACAGACATCTCTGAAAGAGTGAAGAGTGAAGGATTTCAGGTTCACCTTTCACAAAGATGAGTTATGACTCAGTCAGGTACAGTCAGCTGTACAATCTCTTCCTTAAGCAAGGTTGCAGGAGGCACACGTGGTGAAGAGGGAGCTCCTGACTTAAGTCTACCATTAAAGGCATGCACACAAGTGGCAGAAGCAGAATTGAGTGAAGTTGAAGGGATATAGAGGCACTATGGAAATATTCGGGGATGGGCTGAGAACAGTGGGAAAGAGCAGGGCAAGGAAGTCTTAGTCTTCTTGGGAGAGGATTAGGATAGGGAATATTTAAACCAACGAAACATGTGCAAGTCTATGGGTTTGTTGTAGTGCACCCATGGATTACAGTTATCTTGGAAGGATAGCTTGTGGGAAGTTACTGAGTATTGAAAGGAAGCACCACCCTTTACCAGGAAGTGTGGGAAGAAGGAACTGCAGGCTGATCAGCCTGACCTTGAACTCTGGGAAAGTTATTGAACTGCTAATCCTGGAAAGATTTCCAGCATTTGAAAGAAAAGAGGGCAAGTCAGTATGGATCTATGAAGTGAAAATCATACGTGACCAAATTAATACCCTTCCAAAATGAGATTACTTTCTGAATAGATGAGAGGATGTGGTTTATCTGAATTTTAATAAGGCTTTTAATAGTCTCTTCTATAACAGTGGCACAAAACCCATTGGGAGACCAGTTACCAGTGGAACAGGAGGAACCCTATGAAGTTCAGTAGAGGGAAATGCCAAGTCCTGCACCTGGGGAAGAACAGCCCCATGCTCCTGGATAGTTTTGCAGCTGACCAGCTGAAAAGTAGCTTGTCAGAGGAATTCCTGGGAGTTCTGATGGACACAAAGTTCACCGTGAGCAGCAAAGGAGACCAACAGCATGCTGGGATTCATTAGGAAGAATGTTACCAGCACTCTGATAGAGGTGATTATTCCAGTTCCAAGCTTCCCAAAACAAGAGAGACATGGACACAGTGAAGGAAGTTCAGTGAATGGCTGTGAAGATTATGAACAGCCTGGAACATCTTTGATGCAGGGCTCAGAGAGCTGTGACTGTGCTGGAGAAGAGAAAGCTCGGGGGAATCTTATCCATGTGTACTAATGTCTGTTGGAGGGAGTAAAAAGCATGCAGTCAGATTCAATCTCCTGTTCTCAATGGTATTCAGTGAACAGACAAGAGACAACGGAAATGGAGTAAAATTTGAGTAATTCCATTTAAACATTGAACCACCCACTTTTTTTACAGTGAGGCTGGCTAAACAGTGGAAGAGGTTGTCCAGAGTCGTTTAGAATTCTCCATCCTTGGAGATATTCCACCACCTGACTGGGTAACTAGGTCTAGTTGATGCTGCTTTGAACAGAGATGCTGTCTGACATGGACTACAGAGATGTAATCCTCAGTTTTTCTGTGATTCCTGGCCTTTAATCACTACAGTGGTGAGGATGCTGTTTGTATGGGTGTTGACTGCACAGCAGGTGTGCTGTCTGATTTCTAAGCAGGAGCTCCTGGACAGGAGAGCTGTCCCTCAGAAGGAGAGGCCCTCCCTGCAGTGTTGAGCCAGCCCAGCACACAGGCTGGGTGTGCAGTGGAGGAAGAAGAGGAGGGGAAGGATGAGCTGGAGTGTGGTGCTGGAGGCCAAGAGTGTTGCCTGGTTCTAATGTTGTCCATATTTCTCTAGGTTGTTTGGGTCTCCCTGGGAGATTGAGAGGGCACTCGAAGAAGCTGTTGCTTCTCAGCAATCTTTTGCTTTTTTATTTCTTGGCCCTCAGTTTTTCTGCTTTGGTTGCCCCACCTTGCTTGTGAGAAATCTTCTTTTCTGGAGATGCTGTTTGTTAAACTTCAGAGGTGCTGGCCAAGTCCCTGAATTTCTCCTGCCCCTCTCCTGTGCTCAGTTTTCAGCCCCAGTGTTTGTTGAGGGCCATAGTTAGGAAGATAGCAATGCTGGCCCCATGAGGGACCCTTTCTCAGCTTCTGTCATCACCACAGACTGTGGCTGAGAACACAGACTTCAGTTTTTAACTTTTGGGGTCACTGCTTGTGTCCTTTTGGAGCCCTGGAGGAGTTCTCATATTGCCTTTGCAGCTGTTGAATGGCCCAAAAGTTTGGGCTTGCGTCTTGTCTGTGAGGCAGAGTGCACGTGAGGCATGTGGTTTGGGGGCTTGCCAAAGCCAGTTTCTGTATCCATTCAAGGGATGGCCTGTGGCAGGGGGATACTGAGGCAAAAGGCCATTAAGTTGGGAAGGAGATAGCCATGGGCTCATCCAAGGCTGGGCTGTTTCTGGGGGCCAGTCCAGTGCCTGTGAGGCAATCTGTGCAGCCAGGATAGTTGTGCAGTTTCTTGGGTAAGCAGGGCAAAGGCAGCCCAGCTCCACAGGGTCAGAGCGGTGCCAGAGCCTCTGGTGAGCCTTGGCAGGAGGAGTGTGAGCAGGCTGGAAGCCCGTGGCTTCCCAGTGTTGTCAGGCAAGATTGTGGGCCTGTGGCATGGGAATGAGAAACCAGGCTGTTTCCTGGAGGAGCTCAGCCTAATGTGGGAAGGTGAGGGAGAGGGATCTGGCTGTCTGCTTTGCTGCTCTCTAAAGTTCACTGGAAAAAAAGAGGGAGGTCTTCAAGACCAGTGTCTGCTGAAGCCTTTCCCGAACAACCTGCAGGCCTGCATGACCCAGCAGGTACAGGCTTGGAAATGGATGAAAGTCATTCTGAGGGCTGTGGATGAGCTTGGGCCTCACTGACTGCTTTTCCCTGTCCCCTTCGTGCTCCAACAAGGTCGTTTGCCATGCTGTGAGTTGCAGTGAGACTGTGCGAGTTGCTCAGCTGGTGGCCCGACAGAGGAGTTCCAAGAAGAAAACAGTCCGGCAAGTGAACTGTCAGATGAGGCTGAAGAACACATCTCCAGTCAGTTTATCAGGTAAGCCATGGGCCTGCCCTTATGAAAGAACTGCAACTGCTGTAGCAAAAGTCTAGGCCAGGAAGGTGCATCACTAATGGCCATGAGCTGTGTGGTCCTGATGGAGAGTTCCTGGAAGGATGGAGTGCTGTTTACAAGGGTGCTTATGCTTGAAAGCCATGATCAGAGAGGAGGACCTTCTCAGGCATGAAATGTGAATGATCTTGAAAAAAAAAGTTCTTAGAGGAGTCTTGGCTTCATTTTCATGTGTCCCTGCTTCTGTGAGAGGTGTGGTTGAGATGTGGGCAAGAAATGTGGCAATGAACTTCCTTACTTTTTGAGACTGGTTTCAGCCCATTGTGGAGAGGCAGGGATAAGCTGTGCCCTCATAGTGAGAAGGAGCCCCTGCAGCATCATCTGTGGCTGTTTCAGCGGGTCCTGTTGCTGATGCCAGTGCCTTAGTGCCACAAAAGTTCTGATGCCCATTGCCCGCTCTTTTTACCTCTTACCTTTTGTGTAAGCTGCTGTAGCAGTGTTTTCCCAAAGTTAGTGGGTCAGGTTTCCCTCACTGCTCTGCTGTTGTGTGACTGCCAGTGGGGGTGGGCCCAGGATCAGCCCAGGCAAGACCCATCTGCTTGCAAGTTGGAAACTTGGAGCAACAGTGGGTTTTAGTTTGTTTGTACTCTCCTCTTGTCTGTAATGAAGGGTTTGCTGCTTCTTGCTCTCCTGCAACCATACCTGGTTTCCTCTGGTTGGGAAGCTGAACTGGTGACTCATACCCCAGTTAAACAACAGTGATTATAAAGGCACATTGGTTTACTGTCTTGCACAGCAATGCCCCTCAAAAGTGTTTGAACCCTTCAGAATTGATGTGGCACAACCAGCACATAAACAGCAAAGTGACCAAGAGCTTGTTTATCCCAGTGTTGCCTGAATGCCAGTGTGGTGTGTTTCCCTGGGGTGTTATACTTGGTCACCTGTGCTTTGTGGTGGGAGTTCGGGTACCTTCAAGCCAGAGTAGAAAAGAAGAAACCCTTTGAGCAGCAGTGCAGGAGGTGCCCAGGAAGGTGGAAATAGGCTGGTTGGGTGGAGGAGAGCACTGCTCATGGCTCCATCTGCAAACTCTTTAGGAAAGCCCAAAGGAACTTTGCGACAGCCCCGGTCTTTGAGTGTGCCAGAAGAAGGCAGCAAGAAGCCCGTGTCTCGCCTGCCCCGAGGCAGAGAAGTGGCGTGTGGAGCTGTGAAACCTGTTGTGGAGAGTGCCCGATCTGCCTTGCCTTCAGCTGCTGGGAGTGGATCACCTAAAGAAATCCCCATGCAAAGGCATGTCACTGTGGTAAACAGGTCAGTGTGTGCACGTGTGAGTGTGTGTGTGTGAGCAAGGTGAAAGGAAGTGGGGTGGACCCTTGGGCGTTGCCATGCCAGCAGTGCATTTTGGGATCCAGTGGAAATCAGGGCTCCCACACTTGGAGATGGGGAAGTTTGAACATGGTTTGGTATCCCAGGAAAGAGATGGATGACCCTTTTCCTTTTTGGGAGCTGCCATAGCTCCCCAGTGCTCTTGGCCTGCTCCATCTTCTGGGGAGAAACGTGGCCAGAGGTGTCACACAAGGGGGTGTGGGGCTGTCTCAGTCTCCCAGGCTCGGGAGGGAGCTGTTGTGGCCGGTGGGACAGAAGGCAGGAGGAGGTTTGTGTGCAGGGGACAGGCACTGGTACGTGCTGAGGGTGATGGTTGTGTGCAGGTGGGTGCTGTTTGCCTCTTGGCTGAGTTCTGTGTTGCAGCACCAGTGCCTGTGGCCCTTCTCAGTGTGCTGGGAGCCCGGAGGTGCCTGACGTGTTTGGGTGAAGTGAGCCGAGGGCTGGAGCTGCAGTTTTGCTGGGTTAGCAGTACATGCTGTTTTTCAGGCTGGTTTGAGCCTCCCTAATCCAGGTGGCTTAGGCAGCTGCTGCCCCATCATTTCTCTTTCTGTGTTGTTTTGGGCTGCTCTGGGCCATCAGCTGATGGTGGGGAGAAAGTGTTTGCCGTTCCCTCATTGTGGCTGTGCTAAGTCCGCTGGAGCTGTGATTGTGGTGGTAATCCTCTGCAGGTCAGCGGGCTGGGTTAGCAGCCAGACTGGCATTGAATGGAAAAGGCAGTGCTGCTTCCACGGTGGCACAGCAGTGAAGTGGCACGGAGCAGCAGGACAGCTTAATCCTGCCATGGTGCCTGCTCTTTCTGGAAGACCCAGAAAGCAGGCACGTCCTGTCCCAGTCACCTGCATGAGTTCTGAGTGTGTCAGATGTCTGTTGTGCAGAGGAGAGAAGGGCCAAGCCATCCTGCTGTGATCCAGAAATGTGGGAGCAGGTGTGCACAGGCATATGGGTTGTAGTTTTTTAAGTGGCACTTCCGTAAAAGGCAGAGGTCCTTTGTCCCAGATGGGCAGAGGAAAAAACCAGCACTTACAATTCTCTCTAAGTTAGTTACTGGAAGGCCAGGTACTTGAAGATTCATGATGTGTGAAGTAAAATTAGGTAGATGTCAGCCCTATCCTGGCTGTTCTAATGGAGTATGCTACATCTTGTGTTGTTATCTTTGTTCATCTCTCTGCTCCCATGTGCTGCTTTCACAGAAGTGTTCTGCTTTTGTTCCTGGTGTCTGTTCCTGCCCAACTGTGAAGGAGAAGCTACAAAGTGAAGTCTGCTTTGGCCCAAGTAGTTTTGGAGGAGAAGATATCTTGTGCTGTTGCAAAGGGTCCAAATGCTGTCCTGTTGGCTTGTTAGCTTCACACAGTGAAGGGAGAGTTCAGGAAGAAGAGGATAATACTGTTTGAATGCAAGGTTGTATAGTGGCCTTGTGACTGGATTAATTTGTTTCAACTTGGCCAGTTTGAAGCAGGACTGGCAAGATCCATGGCCAGTGTCCTTGCTGCTGTGGACATTTTGTGACTCCTGAGCTACTACAGTTGCTTGTGCTTTGGGAATTGCTGGAGGGAAAGCTTCTTTGTGCCAGCAAGTCCTGACCTCAAAGCAGTGTGCAAATGGGTGGAGTTGTGAGCAGCATCCCCAGAAATCCTGGTCTCCCAGCAGGCTCAGGTAGCTGGCACAGATTTGAGGATGCTGTTCCAGCAATGGTGCCAGCACTTGCCTGTGAGAGTGGTTGAGCATTCACGGCACAGGTTGACTGAAGCAAGTCCTGAAGGTGACAGACTGTCTGCCCCGTTTCTTAGTTTGGAGTGAGCCATTGACCATCTGTGGTTTCTGGTTTTCTATTACCCACCCTGCCCCTCCATTTACCCAAGTCATAGTAAAGAAAATCCACACTCTTATGGTTGCACTTAAAGGTCTTTGTTTTCTCCTTTTCTGTTGAATACTGGTCCTGCTGTGGCATATCTATGTTACTTACCTTGACAGGATGTCCTGCCAGTGACAGACTTTGCCTCTTATCACATAGTGAGGGCCCACAGTGAGACTGAAAATGGCAGTTCCCTTTGTGACTGCCAAAATCTGTGTCCCACCTCTGTAGCACTCTGTGGTGTTTTTCTCAGAGATTTTCTTGACTGCAGCATCTGCCAGCACTGGGTGGTAGGCGAACGGGATGTTTGTCCTCCCCATTCTGTCACACTCACATGACAACAGGGAGTTGGTGAAGGTAGCTGCAGCTGTGGCAGGTTGTTTCCTGCTACCCTTCCAGGCCTTCTTGCAGATGCTGCTGCAGGGTCTGAGGGGCTGTCTTTATAGCACCAAGGACTGTGTTGCTGTGGACCTGCAAATCCCCAGAAGGTGGGAGACACCTTGCTGTTAAGATTAACTGCAGAGATCCTTGAAGGTGGAAAGCAGCAGCCTGAATGAGAACAGGCTGAGATGCCTGTTGACCCCCTCACTGGAAGCAGGAGGAACCATTTGCTGCTGGCCACTGCCTGGTGCTGCTGCTGAGATAGCACTGTCCAAGGACCAAAGAGCAGATTGGGATGGCACAGGCCTTTCCGAGGTTAGGCAATGGGCAGGGAAGAGTATGGCTCCCCTTTGCTGTGAGACACTGATGTCTGGGAGTGAGATGTAGCTGGCTGCTCAGCCACAGGTACGTGTGGGTGACTTGGCAGGGCTGCATGGCTGGTCAGGCATTTGGGAAGAGCCAGGCTGCTGGGAGGCCCTCTTGCTGGGAGCAGGTTTCTGGCAGCTGAGGAACACAAGGCCTTGCAGGCAGCTGAGTTGTCCACACCTGCATGCTGGAGAGAAGTGTGCTGGCCCTTCCGCTGTCTGGCTGAGTTCCATCTCATCATTGGAGAGATAAGACCATCATGATTTGTGTGAGAAAGAAGTGCATCACAGGGGTGGGCTCAAAGCTGATGTTAACACCACTTCAGTCCATGGGAAGTTGTTGAACCACAGCAGAAAGCACAGGAAGACACCACATGAAGTTTCTTAATACTGAGGATCCCAAATCCAATTAGCTTTCAGAAGATACGTAAGGGAATGATCGAACTGTTCCAGGTTCCTTTCTGAGGTGTTCCAGATGGCATGGCTTGAGAGGGGAACATCTACCTTTTTCCTTACTGAAACCTTGCTGCAGTTCCTGCTGGCCTAGCCTGCACTTTTGTCATTCAGGTCACCTCACGTGTCTTAAGATGATACAAGTGATGTGTGGCACTGAAGACTAGAACACAGCTATGGATTCCTGCTGGGAGACGGGTAGCAGGACAGTCTCCATGAGCTCCCTGTAGCTAGTTCATGGTATTGTTTTGCTTTCTGATTAGCAATGGCAGTAGTCTCTTCTGAGTCTGCTTCCATTAAGAGGACTTTTTTTAGCTTGTGTGTCCAGCTAGGAGTTGTCCTTACTGGTACATATACATACAGAGAAATGAGATCCTAGATTTCCTCTAGGATCTGCATGGCCAGTCACAGCACACCTTGTAAGAAGAGACTGCCGCTGCTTTGTGTGGGCATCTGAGCTGTGCCCAGAAAGTCAAGGGTTTTCCTGTGATGCAGATGGAATGTTGGAAGAGTCTTTTCAGATACCCAGCAAGTGCAAGGTGTGTTTCGATTTCGTGTGGGTGGCTTTGCTTTTGTGCTTTTTGAGTTTCACAAATGTGCTGCTGTCTAGCACTTCTGTGCATGACTCCTGTTTTGTTAATTGCTGGGCTGGGCAGTGGCTGTCCTCACTGCTAATGCTGTGAGACATGATTCAGAACAGAGGTATTATTTCTGGTACAGGTGACACCACATAGTTGGTGGGGGAGCAGTGCTTTCATCTCACAGGGACAGCAAAAAAGCAAGGGAGACAAATTCATGTTAAATTTTTTAAGATGTTGCTTAGAACATATGTGAGTGTGGGAGGCCTCTTTCTGATTCATGGATCTGCTCTGTCAAGAGTCAATTTGGTGGCATATAGAGCAGCTTGGTCTTGACTCCCCACTGCTGCTAGTCCCAACATCATACTTGTACTGCTGTCCTGCCTTCTGAGAGCCCAGGTGAACCTGGTGTTTCTGTGGCTGGTGAAGTTTTTGTTTTGTTTCATGGTTGTCCCTGAACTCCACAGAGTTCAGGCCAGGCTCCTTACTGGCCCCTGGGCCGAGGTGATCTGCAAAGCCTGCCAAGTGTGTGGGTACTCTGCTCTGGTCTGGAGAGGCCTGGTTCACATCAGCCTACTGTGTTTTGGTGGAGACCTGTTTTGTTGCCACCCTGACTTCTCCACCACAGCTATTTCTTGGGTATGTGACTTTGGGAAGTGTTTGGTCCAGTCTTTGAACCATCTTCTCTTGTGCTTGCAGTGTATGTAATTATTTCACAGATGATTGTTTCCAGGTCTTAGTGAGCTGCACATAGCTGTGACCTCTTCAGTGTCAGGAGCTCATTTTGGTGTCTGTGGTCCCAGTAAAAGCTGCTGCTCTCTGAAGGACCTCAGAAGAACACCTGCAAGCATGATATTTGGGTGCTTTCAGTGGGAGAGATCTTCAGAGAGAAATGTGTTAAATGAGGTAGCAACAGCATCCTGAAGAAGACTGTAAATGCCTCTGTGTTTCTCTGACTTATGAAGCCAATTACTCTCAGGAAGCACAAGGCTACCAAGCAGATTAACATAATCATATTCAAGAGCAAGGCTGAGATACCATCCAGATAAATGACCAAATAGTGAGACTGAATGTATCAAGTGTAAGACCGTCAACTGTTACTAGGTCTAAGTGCTTTCATTTTTCTAATGTCTCTTTACTGTATGTTTTACTTCTCACAATAATAAGGAAAAAACTAGAAACCACTTCTTGATCTGTCCTGTTACTGCTCATCAGGTTGTCTTCCAAGCAAGGACATTGTGAGTAATGATCTTGTGCAGAAGGCTTGCTAGAAGTGTGTGGAATCTGTTTTATGTGTAGGTCTTACAAGCAAATGGAATGCTATTTAGAGACAGGAGAATGATTTGAAGCAATTTTCTTTGCAATTTTAGGTCTGAGAAGAGACTGACAGTCCCACCACGGTTTCAGAAAGAGTTGCAAGTTCACCTGTCCAGAAGCTCTTCCACAGAATCAAATGGTATGCCCATTAAGAACATTTTTGTTAGCTAGTCATATTAGAATGGATGTCATCTTAAGAAAAATCCACCTTAGTACTTGTTTTGAATGAAATAGGTTCGAGTGAGAAACCAAGTGCTGTAAGTGAACCTTCTCACTCTCATTGTGCTGAGGAAATGTGTGTGTTTGCTTGTGTGCCTCTCAGTCTTCTGTGAAAAACGTTGGGTAGTAAGTGGCAAAGCCAATCACAAAGCTAGTGTGAGTAGCTTGGAAATGGGATGAATAAACTTCACTGCCAGGTTAGGGATATGGTAGAATAGTGAAATCCCAGCTTTCAGAAGTAAGCAGCGCACTAATGTATCTGTCCAGAAAATACCCTCCTACCTGCCTGGTTTGCAGCAGTTCTGCAGTTGATGGGCTTGCCCGTGGTTGTTTTCTTTGAGACCTGTGAGGCTGATTTGTGAAGCTTCAGGACTGGTAGCAAACAAGTCTTTCAAAAACTTGTTCCAAAGGAAGGGAGGAGCAGAGATGAGGAAGCAGGCAAGCTAGTGATGTGAACCTCCCCCTGGAATAATGACACTCTTACTCCTACACACAATATATGAAACTCCAGAGCACGTGGAAAGTTGTCTCTTTCACTGCTTCATTGGAGGGCTTCCTTGAGTGCAGTAGCACAGAAAGGCTGCGTGCTGGATGGAGACTTTTTGTCAGGACATATATTGGAACGAAAGGCAAATGATTGGTCTGATTTGTATGCCTGCCTGAATGTAGAAGAACATTCTTGGTTGTTTTGCTGTATCTTTGTTGTGTGTGTATTCATAAAGAAAATATCTTGTGCCCCACTTGAGATACTGTGTTAGTGCAGCTTCTCAGCTACAGTGGGGCTGAGGGTTCTGTGTCCTCTTCCAGAATTCCTTCAGAAGTAAAATTTAGCAACATCTTATGGAAATAACTACGGTGACTGAAAATGCAGCTTTAGGTCAGTCACTAAATGTCTGAGGTTTCCATAGCTATTTCTAATAGAAAACCACTGAACCAACCATGCTGGACAAGAGAGCCACATTTTAGAGTTGGTATTATGGTGGCAGCTCGGGTGTTTAATTTTTAATTAAGGAGGTTATCACCTGTATTTCTCTCTGTTGGTAAGTCTGTGTCTACTTCAAGGCTATATTTTTTTAACAGATAACTTAAATACATCCACTGCAGAGACACATACTGTTGCCTCTGGCTCTTCTGCTGCTGATGTCAATGAGCTTCAGAGTCGCATTAAGGAGCTTCTGAGCAAGTACAGCAGTGGAGTCAAGGTGTCAAAGATGCTGCAAATCTATCGGGAAATGTACTGGGAGGATCTTAGCACAGAAGTGCTCCAGCAGCTTGAGAACTGGCCTCATGTATGCACAGTAAGTACTGAATGTCATTTTTGTGGAAGATGCCAATACCCTACAGATTTCTGAGTGTTCATTTTCCAGATGCTATTTTATGTATGCCTGCATTTTCTTTAATTATCTGTAGCTGTGACAAAAAAACAAACAAAACAAACCTAACAAACAAAGCAAAACAAAACAAAAAAACCCAAACACCTCCCACCACCCCAAACTGTAACAATGCCTTTGAAACCCAGACAATCACTGTTGAGTGGACTAGCATTGTTACAGAGAAGGAAGGTCAGCCTCTGTGGTGTCATGGAGCAAGTGCCTGGGGTTGCTGAATTGCCACCTTTAACTGACTACAGTAGTGACAACCCAAACAGCTGATGGCACGTGCTGTCCATGCCATGTTTTTTGTTGATTTTTTCCCTATTGCTTTCTATACTTTTCCTTGTTGGTAGGTTTATCTCCTCTTAAACCTATAAACTACCAGCAGATCCTGTGTGAACAGTCTGAGGTCTATCTGTATTTTTCTATAGACTTTTCCACAGGTCTTTCTCACATCCTAAGCCAAGGTTGTGGAATTTTGCTGTGTAAGTTAGGCTTATGATACAATAATAGGTGAAATTCTAGTGTGATAATGCTGGGGGGAGAGATTACAGCTCAGCCCCTTCCTGCTGTGCTCCTGATGTCTGTTATGTCTTGGTCACCAAGGGTGTCTTTGTCCTTCATATCAGGATCTGATATCAGGATGAGTATCCACTTACAGGTCTGCTGCATGGGTTGCCATCACCACTGGCTTGAGGGTCTTCAACTGCTGTACTTTTATCTCTCCTTCTGTATTTATGGTGCTATGCAGCTTTGCAGCAAGGCTTTGGTTAGCTTTTAACAGGCCAGTCATATCTATGAACACTTTCAACTGCTTTAGTATCTATCAAACTGCGGCACCAGAAGAGTATTGAAGTAATGACAATATTTGTCTGCTTTATGTGACTTTTCATGTATGTCCTGGTAAGTATTTTCTCATGTAATAACTTTTAAGTGCCAAAAGAAGGAAAGGTTTAACTGAGATTAAATAATTGCTCTTCAGGAATAACAGCATTTGCGTGCATGTCTGGTATTCCCGCAGATATGTAAAATGTGTTTGTGACACTTTATTACAAACACCAGTAACACATGAAGTCAGCAGCATTTGTTTTGATTGTTGATGATTGGTTCCTGTTAATCCATGGAGCAAGCTCTTACATCTTGAGTTATTTAATTCATGAAGCAAATTTTAGTCTTTTTTTGTAGCTAATGTTTCAGTCAGTCCTGTTCATCCAGGATCTTCGCTCTGTGTTCATTATCCATTTGCTTGTTATCTACTGGGTCTATCTCTTCTCTCTATCAAGCAAATGAAGTCATTTTAGCATAAGTTGGCAGTCATTAAATCTGTGGAAACGTTGTAATAGAGTGGGCACAGTACAACAGCAGTCAGAACTATCAAGTTATTTTGGCACAGTCAGTCTTATTGTAGAGAACTGTTAATGAGCCTGTAAAGCCTGTCTCAGTTTACTGACTTATGAAATAGCAGTCATGGCTCAGGCATGGAGAAATTTGAACTGGGACTTCTCGTATGAAGCTACTGTGCACCTCTTAAATATAATCACCGTTTATTCCTGATTCAAACACATTGTCTGCAGGTGTGCAGATCTATAGAAACTTTGAAATGCCAGAGGACAGACTGTACTGTCTCCAGTATCAGTAGAGATGCTTCCATGACTAATTTCTGAAATATTTCTGCCATATGGTTACTTACACTGGGAGTGTTTGCCAGGCTCAGAACAGAAGAAAATGCCTGATATTTCTCTCAGTATTTTCTTAAAGAGACAGCACATCCTCTTCTTTATCTCTTGCTGATCAGCATAGTTACAAACCAGCAGGCAATAGACCTTGCAATACATTTTCTGCCTCTTCAAGATTCTAATTTGAGGACTCTGCTCTGGACAGTATTATTTCTGAATAACTCGTATCCCTAAACTTTCAAGCTTGTATGAAAGGAAGGAATTTTTTCTAGGAAATAGTAATTTCTGATTCAGGTTACAACCACCATTAATGGACGTTTTTCCTATCTAGTGAGCTGAAGTCTCCAAAGGTCACTATAGTTGACTGCACTAAAGTTGCAGACTGATGATCTTGTTTTCAGCCTTCACCTTTCAGGGAAGAGGACATATTACAAACTATGGAGCCTGACTTTGTTCTCCGTTGGTCTGTTACCTCCCTTCTTTAGGTTAGAGCTTGCTTGAGCATCTTACTTGTAGCAACATATTTTGCACAGCTAAATGCAAAAGTAGAAAGGAATTAAGTAGTGGCAAGGACTCCCAGATTATAGCCAAGCCTTCATGAGCAGTGGGGCTGAGAATAAATATGGTCGCCACTGTTATATAATAACCCAAAAATCTTTGCTTTCTGGACAGGCTTCAGTCAGGAGAAGAATTTGCTTCAACTGCTATGTCAGTCAGATCCATGGTGTTGCTGATTTGTTTGCTTTCACCTCTAACAGGAGTAGTACTTTGAAAACAGTGATGACTGGCAGTGACTCTCCCACCTTTGTCTTTTTATATCAGAATCTTATACCTTTCTGTTTGACTAATTACTTTGTCTTGCATATTTAAGCAGCTGATTCGTGATCCCTAATTTAGACATTCTACCCTGTCTCTTTTCTTATCTTTCTCCATATTTTTCTCACAGGTCTTTCTCAGAACTCAGCAGTTTTTCTACAAATTCTGACCCAAAGTTACATAGCTTTGCAGTGTTTGGGCTCTGCCTTGAATCCTTGGGATGCAGACAACTGAACCCCTGAGGGAGAGGGAACATTACTGCAGAGATGTGAGAGGGATGTAGACACTTAAATTAAAAACTTCTCTTTTGTTTTGTAAGTCACAGTCCAAAAAGTAATAATAAATCTACTGTACTGGTGGTACCAAATGATTGATGGTTCCCTTTGTAGTCTAAATATAAACGTCGTTACTGAGTGGTATTTAAGTTTAAAAGACTTTTTCCTTGCACATTCTCAGCTCTCATCAGTTACTTGAACTCTGTGAGTGATTTAGAAGATGGTGATTCACATATGGCAGTGCAAGAGAAGACTAAACTCTTAGATATTTTCTCAAAACATTTACTTGAATTTCCAGAGTTCTTTTGCAAGAACTGTATTTTAGAGAATTAGGCAGTGCTAGGACATTAGGGAAGGTCCTTGCATGGATGTTTGATTAGTTAAAAGGCTAGAAATGGAACAAGGCAGAAATGGTTGACCTTCAAAAAGGCAGAAAGTCATGGTGGGATTCCACAGAGGCAACACTTGGAAACAGGCCAGTCAGGATTGTAGTAAGTGAGATGGTAAAGGGTGCAAATACAAGTTGAGCTGGATAATAATACAGGGTTAGTCAGGCTTATGAAGACCAGGGCTCTCTGAAGAACTAGGTAACCTCCTAACACCACGTTGCTGGCCCATAAAATTTCAAGTGAGACTTAATTACAACTGTAGACAGAAAGGACTCACATTAGAAAAATGTGGGGGATTTTCTGTGGGGATTGTTAAGCTTGGGAAAAGAGATCTTGGTATTTGTGCAAATATTGGCTCAGTACAGAAAAATGCAAGTGATAAGTACTTGAAAATAAATAGAAAAGAGGTGTTTCAGTTGGAAGGGATCTATCAGTGATCATCTAGTCCAGTTGTCTGACCACTTCAGGAATGACCAAAAGTTAAAATATTTCATTAAGGCTGTTGTCCAAATGCCTTTTGAACACTGATAGGCTTGGGGTATCAATGACGTCTCCAGGAAGCCTGTTCCAGTGTTTGACCACCTCTTGGTAAACAAGTGCTTCGAGCATTAGTCCTAGAGCCAGGTTCATATATTCTTTCCAGAGCCTCTCTTCATTACTGAGAGGATTGAGGAAAATACTACCTGTGCTGCTGAATTTTTAAACATTCTTCCTAGGGCTCTGAAATATCTTCTGATCAGCCTTAAACTTTTTGTTGCAACGTATTTGGTACTCACATGAAAGTGCAGGAGTGGATAAGAGTCCAAAATCTAAACTAAGCTATTTAGTTGTCCAGTGACATCTCATCTAGATTCAGGCCCCAGGCAGCAAACTTCCCTGTAAAGACTTCCCTGTTCTCATGAACAGCGAACAAAACAGCAAACACGGTACCAGTGGGGAAACCTATTTTGTAAGCACATATCAGAATCGAATATGCTCCTCCCGTCTCCACCCAAAAAATACACAAACAAAAACTGACTGAGAGATCAAGCAGAGTGAGAAGATGATTCAAAAGGGTGACAGGTAAACATAAGTATTGAGTTCTGTGCAAGCAAAAATTGAGTTAAATGATTTTGAGTGGGGAAAGATGGAGATAAAATATAATAAGAGACTTGAAGAAGGTAGATGGAGAATGTTAATCATCATGAATTCAAAAGCAACTGAATATGTACTCTAGTGATCTCTGGCCTTAGATGTCATGAACTACTTCATTCCAAAGAAACTGTCTCCAGTAGTGCCTGAACTATGGAGTATCCAGAATGGGAGGAGGAGGTATCCCTACAACCATCGTGTCCCTTATGCTTTTTCCTGGACACTTGCTGTTGTCAAATAGGATGTTAGGCTAGGGACATCTTTGTTCTGACCCAGTACAGTTCCAATGCACTAAATCAATCTGTCTCTATGTAATTGTGGTAGAGTTGTAGAATTGTTTGGGCTGGAAGGAACTTTTAAAGGCTATCAACTTCCAACCCCCTGCAATGAGCAGATCTTCAACTAGATCAGGTTGCTCAGAGCCTCTTGAACACTTCCAGGCATCAACCACCTGTCTGGGGAACCTGTGCCAGTATTTCAGAACTCTTATTGTAAAAAATGTCTTCCTTATATGCAGTGTAAATCTCTTCTCTTTTAGTTTAAAACCATTACGCTCTGTCCTATGACAACAGGCCCTGCTAAAAATGTCTCTCCACATCTTTCTTATAAGCCCATTTAGATACTGGACACCTGCTATCAGCCTTCTCTTCTCCAGGCTGAACTACCCCAACTCTCTTAGCTTTTCATTTTCAACCCGTCTTGGTGCTGGATTCTTTCTAGTAGTGGCCTCTTTTCATGCTTTTATATCAGTCTGAGATGATGACAAAATACATCAGTCTCCTATGTTGTTTGCCAGGTGAAGCTGTCTTCTGTCATCTTTTTTTTGCACTTGTCCTCCCAAATTCATTCTTGCAGTTGGAAAACAAAATAGAACAAATACTGAGGAGCCATCTTTTAGCTGATAGAAAGAAGGGATGCATGCCTCTAGACTTGCTTCTAGGTGTTTCTTTTAATAGTAGCTGCCTAAGTCTTTCTGTCTGTTTTCTGAAGGAGATGGTAGAAAAATAAGACTGCCATTCTGAATTTGGAAGTTCCACCTGCGCTGGAAGAGATATATCTGCTTTTCAGCACTTCCAGAACAAAGATGTTCTTCTTTATTGTAAAATATCCTGTTGGTCCTGGCTACAGAGCAGATTAACCATTAGTCTGTTGTCGTCAGAGGATAGTTTCATCTCCAGTAATCTACCATTTCTCAGTCAGTTATCTTACTGCTTTTTAATAAGGGTATGGCTAAAAAATATGAGGTTTTTAGCCCGAGGATGTTTGTTAGTGTGCTTGAGCAGTGTGTTGGCTGATGCTGTGTGAAAAGGCTCCTCAGTCTGGAGAACATTTGCCTGGCTATTTGTTCTGAGGAGGAGGCTTTACACGGTAAAGGAAAACCTAGTGTTCTTCACTTTGTCTCTTGGATGTCTGGGATGGTGCTGGACAGGTCCCCTCTGTGATGTGCAGGGTAATGAAGTGGAAGGGCAAAGAGGATGGGGCAGAAGGGGGCAACCAAAAGACACTCCTGTACTTTACAGAGCTTACCACTCCAGCCCTGAGCGCTAGCTGAACCTGAACAGGGGGTATCTTTACAATAGGGATCCTTTAGTCTGACAACGAAAAAAATACAAAAATATACCCAATATGACTTAATTTTAACATTTCAGTTAAGTACAGAAGAAATTACAGAAACAGAATCATGGAATCACTAAGGTTGGAACAGATACTGATCTGTTCTCTTTGATGACCTGTGGTAGGAGCTATGGGAATGGCATGAAACTGTGTCAGAGAGGTTTAAGTTGCATATTAGGAAAAGGTTCTTCACCCAGAGGGTGGTTGAGCACTGGAGGCTCCCCAGGGAAGTGGTCGGAGCACCAAGCCTGACAGAGTTCAAGAAGTGTTCAAACAATGCTCTCAGGCACATGGTGTGACTGCTGGAGATGGCCTGTGCAGGGCTAAGAGCTGGACTTCGATGGTCCCTTCTAACTCAGGATATTCCATGACTCTATGACTGTGTGATTCTAATGATGTTGACCTGAGCTCATTTATCGTGTAGGAATCTGAAAGAACTTCCTGAAATAGTATTTTTTCTGTCTCTAAATGGTTTGCTCAGTCAGCATCTACAGCTTCTTAAAAACTGAACTTCAATGCCTAGAAAACCTCAGAGCTATTATTGGAGATAAGAGGCTTAAAGATCTCTGAGGATCTTCTCTTCTTAGTCTTCTGCCAATCTTCAGTGTGTAAGGGTTTATGGTCCTGTCAGCAAAAATGTGTTCAGCTCTGTTGCAGCCCTATATAAAGAGTGCTAGTCAAGAGAAAGGATGCATGAAGGTAAACTCTCTGCATCTAGCTTCTTTTGGGATGAACTGCCATACACACCAACACAGCCTTCTCAAACAAATTGTTGTCCTGATAATGCCAAGTATTTTCTGCAGCTAAAAGTTTCCTTGGCTGGTCATTTAAACAAATTACTCAATCCTGTGTGTGGACACATGGGACATCCCCATCAATTCCTCTGTACCTAGGATGTCATTTTCTGCCAAGATGATGGGCCCTGATTTCTTTTTCTGTGTCACTTGATATTCTTTGGTCTCTTGACTGTGTATCAAGGCCCTTGCAAGGCTTTGATAAGTTTCTGTTTGGTTTTATTTTTACCCGAACTCCTGTGGTACAAGGGGCATAATAAAATTCCTCGTATCAGTGGACCTACAGATGTAGGTTCTCCATGTCATGAATCATTGAAGGCATCTTTGATCCTTCTAGACTGCATGGCCAGACATGCTTTGTCATCCTTTGTGTCAACCTGACTAGCAAGGTGCCCAAGACCTTGGTGAATGTACCATCCTTTATATGATTTTTTTATATTTTTTCCTACAGTAGATAGCTGTTCTTTAGTAAGTAGACGTCTGCAGGACACTGCCTCTCCCCTTCTCCCAAAGAGATATTAACAGGGAATGTCTCCTTGGTTTAGTGAGCTTATTTGGAAAGACTGGAATCTTAAAACTTGTTTGACTCATTTACATGAACCTGGGAAGCTGATGGTTGTTAGATAGAGTTGTTTGCCTTCTTATGTCTTATTCTTGCAGAAAATTACTATTATTTTGGTTTTCACTGATGAAGAACAATTCAGGTATGCCACCAAAAATGTGTGAGAGTTCTCTAACCTGGTTCATATTTTTTTCATATCTATGAAAACTGTTTTCTTTGTGATAATTTTGGATAGCACACATGCTACTGTTCATGGAATTTGACCAAGACCTATTCCCAAATATCATTTCATACCTTGCTTTGGCACCAACCTAGGCAATGTAATGCAGAGTAAGTATAGGGAAATCCACTTATGTAGTGCATTTGCTGATTCTCAACTCAGGTCATCACGTGGCAATTTCAGCTGAGTGTGATCAGGTGTACTCAGGACAAAATACAAGGTCCTAGACACAGAAAAGGCAGTTTTAAAGTTTTTGTCCATGTACTGTAAGTCAGTGTTTGTATCTTGTTAGTGTTATCTTGCTAATCAGTGACTTGTGTTATTCTTCATGTATAAGATAATACCTGAAGCCTTGTTCACTGTGCTTACATCGTATGTTGGTAGGGCAGAACTGCAAAGAATTACTTAGGCAAGGTTTACAAAATTCTGAAGGGTATGGACATCAATGGTGTGGAGGTAAACACTACTACTGAGTAGTAGAAAAACGTCGTGGTTTTGCTCTGGATTAATTTTTCTCACCTCCCACACAGTTACTATAAATTGAGAGAAGGTTTATGCAGACAAACAGAGCTGATTGGGGAAATTCAGCTGCTCGATGTTTTTTCATTGATCTGCTTCTGGCAATTACTTTGATGAGATACGTTTCCTCTGAGGAAGGAACATCAAAGTGGAGCTACATAAACCTTAATAACTTTCCTTATTGCTGCAGTTCTTCCTGCTTTGGGACCAGTGTAGAAACTGTAAGAGCTTTTGTTATCTCAATTTTACATAAATTCCTGTTAAGTGATGGTAGGATCCATCTACGTTGAAACTGCATAGCTTGAGGAAACAGAATTTTATTGTGAGTTTGTTGCTACAGTTCTCGAACAGTGCTTTCAAGGCTGTGGTTTCAAACTATGTGAGATGCTTATTCTGGAACTTAGCAAACACCAGAGACACAGGGACTGGCAAAACATCTGTATGGTTCTGCAGGAGGCTGTGAGCGTGGCTTAAAAGGGCCTAATTAATTTTATTATGAAATTTATTATGATCCAGACACATTTTCCTTAGTTTCAGAGCTTTTGTACTGAAAAAGAATCCCCTGAGCATGACAGCAGATAGTCTGCCTGACAGCACTGCCTGGCAAGTGTCCTCTTGTTTCTGAAGTACAGAGTCAAATCCCATCTCCCTTTTGTTTATGATATGCTTACCTGTGTGAAAGATTGTGGGGGGTAATGTGCAAAAGACCTAAGTTAGTGGAGTGCGTCGTCGTCTTCTGGTCCTCTGGGAAAAAAAGAGAGACTGTACTTCTTTGGAAGCAAGTTCCACTTGTATTGTACAGATCAGATATTTGCCCTGTACTGATGTAGACATACGTGTTTGGTACCCTTCAAAACAGAGGAGGAAGCATTACAAGAAATACTACCCTGTAGTAACTTCCTCAAGCTTAGCTCCCTGTGGATGCCCCCTTCAAAGTCTGTGTAAAATGCATGTTATAAAAGTGTAATTGGCAAATTTATTTAGAGATTTAGAGATACAGCTGATTATTGGCTCTATTTTTTTTTGTTTTATAAGGTGGAGAAAATACACAGGGGTGATCAGATAGATGAACATCTTTACCCTGCAAAGAAAATACCACCGGTAGCAAAAGGCGACACCGATCAAGAAAAGGCATCTCAGAATGTTACTTCTTCAAAAGCAGACCCTTCATTAAAACCGAACATGGAGACCACATCACTGAGCAGCGACTTGAAGCAGAAAGTTGTTAGCATCTTGCTGAAATATTCCAATGGTCTTTGGGCTCATGCACTCCCCAAAGTGTACCAAGACACTTACCAAGTAAAATTTCCAGAAGATGTTCTCAGTAATCTGGAGTTGCTGTCAGATGTGTGCACGGTGGATTATGTCTCTGAAGCCCCCAGAAGGGCTATTCTCTACGCTAAACCCCAAAGATGCACTGATGAAAATCTGAATGTCACTGAGAAGGTCCAGAGTCACGATGGTGTGAAGGCCACAGCTGAACAGCAGGATGAAGAATCCAAGGACCAGTATCCAGAGAACATAAGTGTTCCTTCTCTAATCATTCCATCAGAAGGATCTGTGTCAATCATGGTGTTAGAACTGAAAAACACTAATGAGGTCCTAATTAGGTATGTTTGTATTTTGGAGTCTGTCTTTCTTGCTTTATTTATAAATCCACATAGTGACATTGTGCAGGTGTGCCAGAAAGGAATTGATGAAGAGGAGATTTCAGGGCTTTATTGTTTACTTAATTTGACCCTAATCTTAAAATGTTTATGGGTCACTTCACGAGGATGAATTGAGTGACTGTGTGGTAATATACTGTAGAGACGGGTCTCTGTTTTTTCCCCACTGATTCCTACAATTTTCACTTTGATGAGATAGTTCCAGTAATTCTCAGATGAGGATTGAATTAAGTATGTGTGCAGTTTCCTTACAGATCCTATTACCCCATTCCTCATCGCTGTTTGGCAGTATTCAACACACTGGGCTTATAGCTGAAATCTAGATAGCCTTTTTCTCTTTAGCTTTCAGTAATGTCTTGAACTTCAGGTGTCACTCCACTGTTTGAAGTAATGGAATCTCAAGGCTGGTAATCTGTAGCAAAGATCCCCTTATTTGGGGGTTACAAGAGGAATTTCCATTTGAGAATGTAGCCATCTTTGTTTCAGCAGCTGTTACCATTCCTATATTGTGCTTTTTCTCAGATAATCTTCTGTGTGCATTGCTTATACATTTATTTTGTATCCTGGTCTCACCACAAAGCATAATTTAAGGCAAGCTGCTTCATCTGTCAAAACGATTTGTACTATATCCAGCTGAACAAGTCAGCCATTTTAGCAAAGAAGACACAATTGGAATTTGTGAGTGAGCCTCAGCTTAAAAAAAGAAATCACGGAAGAAAGAGAGGCTTTATGTTTCAGGTTGTTCCTGGGAGATCTCTTTGAAATTAGTCCAAAACATGAAAGATGATGACAATGAATAGTGGCAGGAAAGACAGCCCATTTGAGATATAACATAGAGATACAGAAACAGACACAATGCATATGTTTTGCTTTGGGAAGAACAGAAACAAATTACGTCTCTTACTTCCAGCTTGCTATGCAGGTGGAACTTAAGTCTGCAAAACTTTTTCCTTCTCCTTGTACACCTTTAAATTCTGGCAGCATTGATAGCTTGCTGCACATGGGAGTAACAGTTCTTAGCTTTCTAACCTGTTATTTCAAGCATGTTTCCAGTAATTATTTGGGAGGAATACTGCATGACACTGATCAGCTGAGAGTGATTATATTAAAATTTCTCTGCAAAGCAGCAATTCTCAAATTGTGGACCATGTTTCTTGGACAATATTAAAGTTTCTGAATTTGTCAATTCTGTGCAGGTAGATGATGAAAATTAGTGGTTTCTTGGCCCTAGGTACAGAAATTACTACACTTAGGGTCATGGGCAAGGTCAGTTATCTGGATACGATGCAACTAGACCTGAAGGGGATATTTTTTTTGCCGTGACAAGAAAATGTTCACGTGGACATACAGGAAGGAAACAGTGCATGGGCTCATCTGTCCTTACATGTCCTACCAGTCCATTTCTGCTCATCTGCACAAGGACTGTGTAGGGGCTGTTGGTTGATGTTGGTTTTTGTAGGACCAATGAAATCAAGATTCCTCTTTCGGTCTTGGGGAGGGAGCAATATCTCTTTGCTTTCTTGGTATGTGGCCGAGTGTTGTTTGGCTGAAACCTTTCAAATGCAGTAGCAATGAAGGCAAAGCTGGAAGGCTTGGTGCTGTTTCTGTTTTGAAACATGGAACAGTTCAGTGAGAAGTCAGAGGGAGTCAGAATGAAAGCGAGGTGATAGAAACACTGCCAGATATTTGCTGTACATCCACAACAGTGTGATTGAAGGCAGAGATAATACACTAGGTGCTGCAGTTGAATTCTCACAAGAAATAATTGACTGTCACGGTTTATTCTCAGCTACTTTAAGTTTCTGTGTTACAGCTCGGATGCCTTTCTCCCCTCATCTTTTTGCATAGATGGAATTGCATTGTGTGTTCCACCGTGGAAGCACAGCCCTCTGTTCCTTTCACAGTGGAGCAGCAAGCATTACTGGACATGTTAGTTGGTTCCAGCTGAGACAAAGAATGATGCTGAATGAACACTTGTAATGCCTGGCTACCTGCATGTAGATTAGCCTCTAATACACTGTTTTGGAGGTAGCTTTATAGGATTCTTTTCTAAAAAAAAAAAAAATCTGGAAAATAATTTTTCAGTTGTCTTTGAGCAACCAAAAACTTCTACAGGATTATGCTCACCGATTACTAGAAAATAGTGAGGCAGGAAATTTTGAGAGATTTTTCTACTTTCTGTTGAGCTATCCCAACTGTCTGTTAGGTACCCTTATGAAATAAATGTTAAAGAAACTTTTAGGTAGGACATAACGTGACTGTCACCCCACTTTATCTCCATTTTGTAGGAGATGAGCATTGTTTTGTAGAAACAAAAAGGCTGTCATCCTGAAAAGTGTGACACTGTCTTTAGGAAAATGAGGGTTCCCCTGGAATGTGATCAGATTTAATTTAATCTTAATAAAGTCACTATATTATATCAGTACAATATCTACACTAATTTTGAGTATACAGCAGACCTTCACAATAAACTTAAATTTTTATAGGATGGTGACCTATGTTGTAGAATTGTGCAGTATCAATGACAATACGAACATGCCGAAACAGTAGCTACTAAATACAAATTTGTAATTTTCCTTTTGCCTACTCTAATCTAATGTGCTTCTGAAGCCTTCAGAACTTCCTATTTGGAGTTTTCAGGAAGTTTATATACTTCACTAAGTACAAACAGCTTCAGTAGGAACCGTTAGGTCATCAACCTAATGCTGATTGATCTGGAGGGGGAGAGTAAACAGCACCTGATTTAACAGCTGATTTTAAAAAATATTTTAGTTGTGTTGTTTTGGATCAACCTTAGTGAAAATCAGATTAAGATAATGTTTGTTAATGACAGAGTGACTTTCTTTTTCTATAGCCCTGTTAGTGGGAAAAGAGTTTGAATACTAGTGTGCTTAGAAAATGTACGCATCCATAATTTACTCATAGGTTCATATATGCATGGAAATGTTCTTATGTTTTTTTATTCAGCTTTTTTGAAGTTGCATCCTAACTCTTGTGTTGGTTTTTGTTTTGTTTTGGGTTGTTTTTTTTTTTTGAAAATACTGTAGGTATGTGGGCAAAGATTATTCTTCTGCCCAGGAACAAATGGAGGAGGAGATGAAAGCATACTATAGTCAGAACAGTACAGTGTCACCAGCTCAGTCTCTGAGTGTTGGGCAAGTTGTTGCAGTACATGCCGAGGAAGACGCCTGGGTGCGTGCTCAAATAATTTCTCTAGAAGACAACAGAATAAAGGCAAGTAATTACCTCTTTTGGCACGCGGAGAAAGAATTGAAACAATCTCACATTTTAGATACCTGGTTCATTCTTAAATATGCTACGCTAGCATTCTCTCTCTTCTTGCCCTGAACTGCTTTCTGTCTTCAGTTATGTGCGAAATTAAGACTTTTCTGAAGTTGAGTGATGGCCAGAATTCAATGGTCTATCAGGTTTTTTTCCATAAATAATTTGAGTTTGGGTGTTTTGTTTTGAATTTTATATGGGGCTGGACCCTATAGCACTTAGGTACTGAAAATGTACCTCTGATGGGAGGAACACTGTATTACCACTATTTGAAGTGGGACAGAGGAAGGGAAAGGGAAGGACAGAATTCACTTGCTGTTAGAGCTTTTTGGGGTCTTGTACTGAAATATTTCTAACATGCATTAAATAGTGAAAAAATGAGAAGGTTATATTTTTCCCTTCTAGGCCTGGTATTCTGGGAGTTACATGTAGAATGCATTTTAATTAAACCCCACTGAGATTATTTGATTCCTCTGTTAAACTTTCCCTGGGCCAATCAGACTCTTCTTACTATCTGCAGTGAAACTGGAACATATATTAGAAGTTTAAAAGAAGTTTAAAACTTCTCAGTTATTTCTTGCCTCGTCAAACACTGATTATACACTTTTATGTTTTTTTGTTTGTTTGTTTCTTCCCCCAGTTGTGTGACTTTTTATCCAGGTCTTGTTAACATACTTATAAAGTTGAACCGTTTCATAAATGCTTGAATAGCACGTGTGTTGGAACTGAGGATTTTCTGGAAGTTAATATGATACCCTTCAGCTAGAGCTTGTTGGAGAGTGTCAGAACTTGGGTTTGAAAGACTTTTGAGTTTAGAGAAGTGGCAAGAACATAGGTGCCATGCTTGCCTCTAATTTCTCCCTAGCTAGAGCTACCAGCCAAAAGAAGGCTATTGCTTTATTGCATCATTTGCTGATTATCCTCTGACACAGTGTTCAGACCTCCTTTCAGTATTTGGTAAGCAGACGTTTTGCATGATAGAGTTTAGAAAAAAAGTTGTACAAAGTCCTGTAAAGCCTTCTTTCTCTTACTTTAGCTCCAGTTATTTACTGCCAGTCAGCAGTTTCCGTAATGGTTTCCTGCACTGACCGTGGTATTTGTATCAAAGTTAAGACAAGCATTAATCAAAATGATTCTCATAATGCTGTAAAAACAGTAGACAAAGCTTATAATGGCACCTAAGTGGTATGTGACCTTTCAACACTTTCAAAACTTTATGAAAACTCTGAACATTCAAGCAGTAAGATAAATATTAAATTAATGGTCTAATATTCTAGTAAATGAGCAAAATGTAACTTTCCTGTGGCTGCACAGAGAATGTGATAACTGAATACATTTTCCCCAGACTCAAGAAAACATATTTACAATGATGTTGATGATCTTATGCCTTTATTTCCTTTTCCATTTTCAGGTACGCTATGTTGATCATGGCTTCACTGAGTTTGTTGAAAGCAACAGTGTTTACAAACTACAGAAACAGTTCAGTTTGCTTCCTTTCCAAGCTGTAAAGTGTAAACTGGCAGGTAAGAGAAGGGCAGTGCTGACTGTACAGCTTACTGTTGCACAATTTATGGATTGAAGCATCTGCGAGTCTGGGAGTTTTGATCCTCGTTTGTAATAACTCTGTGTATGATAGATTTTGTCCAGCACAGCTAATCTAAACAGACACAGGTAGACATGGAAAGAAAGAAAAGGGAGGAAGAAAGGATGTGAAGAAGGGTTTTATAAAGAACCCTTGGTATTAGAAGACAGTTATATCCAGTATCTATGTAGTGGAGCTTAGTTGTTTCTGCACTTGGATGTCTTTGTCCCTTTTATGTATGTGAGCCTAAAGAAATAAGAGGAAACATTTAGTGTTGTGTGAAACAATGTACTAACACAACATCTTTTCCAAAAATGAGACACATCTCTTGTGGCCAGGTCAGGCAATATTTCTAAATATGGACCTATTTAGTTATTTTAAAGGGCTCTTTTCCGTTTCAATACTTGCATACCTGCAGACTTCCTGGGCTCTGCTGGAATTTATTTACCTTTCTAAAACTGGTAGGCCTTTCTAAGTTTTTAAGAATATTTTATTTTTAATGTGTAAAATTGCCATGAATGAGCTTGGCTTTTTAGTTTGGTTGGTTTTTGATACATTCCTTTGTTCTCTACAATTTTGTCTCAACCCTTTCTAAAGAGGGTCCTTTCTATTCTGCCCCACCCCCAAAGATGGCTCTCTGTGTTAAAAAGGCAGAAATTAAGTAGAATTTAGGTAGGGGTGCAGTACAGCTTTTCTTTGCTTCATCCTGATTCTTGGAAATATTCCTGTGGTTTTTCCCTTTGAATACAGTGATCCATAAAAATATGGTGTGTCTTACAGGGCTTGAAGCCTTCTGTGATGATCCTGTCCTAATAAAGACTGTGGAATCACAGACATGCTTCAAGATATTTGCTGTGGAAATACTGGAAAAAAGTGATATTCCTCTTCTTGTTCTCTATGACACATCTGGAGAAGACGATATCAACATCAATGCTACTTGTCTGAAGGCATTGCATGACAAGTCCCTTGAACTGCACCTGCAGGTACCATTGTCCTGCTTCCTTCTTAATTCATTAAAAATCATTGACTGCTGAAGTCTTAGATGGACAAAAAACAGTACTCAGAAATTTGCTAAGTGTTTTTTTGTCGCCTTTCGTGTCAAAATCTTACTGTTGCAGGTAGATGCACTATATACAAATGTCAGAGTAACCAGTGTTTTCTCTGATGGAAGCCTGTATTGCCAAGTGCCATCCAAAGGCTTGTCTAGACTCTCAGAAGTCTTGCAGAAAGTAGAAGACTACTTTGGTTACAAGGTAGGTTCTGTGGTGAGGGAAGTGGTGAAGTCATGTAGCCTTTCCTCAGAATGTACCAATCACTTTCCTTGCACATAAGTTCAAGTTTCTTTGGTAGCCACAGACTATTCTAAAAGGCTATAAATTCCCTTCCTCGTTTGGGGCTTTTTGGGGTGCATCTTTCAGCACGAACAGTGTCTTTTGATGCTTTCTTGTTCACAGGCAGTCTCTAAGGCTTCAGTAACTACTTATAACTTTCCTTTAATAGTTAGAGTAGCAACGATGTGGCTCTTAATGGGAAGCTGCCAATGGAAGCTGCTGCAGGTTGGTATAAAGCCTGGGGAGATACTGCCGTTTTGGTTTTTTGCTGGAAATTTTACTCAGGTGATGGAGTTGAGGTGCATAAACAGCCTGGCCCACAGCACATTGTGCAAAGCGGCAATAAAAGCACTTTAGACCAAAATCTAAAGACCGAAGTGTGTTCTTTTTAGCCTGCCTTTCACCTGGAAATTCAGTGGCTTCGATCTGATATGCTGCGTCACTTGTCCCCTTGCACCCTTAGATTTCGAATGTTGTGGTTGATATCAACAAGAAGTGGTGTGTAGCAGGGGTTTTCTGAAGGCTTAAGTTGCTTTAAAAAGGGCGTGTGGCAAAGAAGTCTGATGTTCCACCAGCCATTTACAGACACATGCAGCAATCCTCACTAGACTCAATTTATGGCAAAGAGATCTTGAGAGAGTCTAATTTGTTGATAATTCAGCTGAGCCTTACAGAATCAAATCATGTAATGCAGATCCTTGAAGGTCCTTTTAGAACTGCTGCTTGTGACACTACTGCGTTGAAAGTGTTTCTTTAGGTGTACAAGTTAAGCTTTAGACCTGTTGTGGAATCATCTGGAAATATTTTGTGTTAAACATGTTTCAGTTATCAAGATTCAGTTTCAAGCAAGCTAAACACTGAAAGAAAGTGTATAGAACCCTGAAAAGTTTAGCAACACAAAGAAAGGCAGCCAGACAGGTATCTCAAAAGTTTTTATTTTTGGGAAAGACTACGTGTTATGTTCTTGTTGCCATCAAAGAGAGACACTGGTCTTCAGATTCTTTTGTTCAAAGGGTAAAAGAAGCAATCTTGACTTTGCAGCTAATCTTGAGGGTTATTTTTCTTTTATTTTGCCTGGGCATTTAAACAAAATAAGGTGTTGATGGCTCTTCATATAGAGTTTCTTCATGCTTTTTATAGCATGGACATTGTCTTGTTACGTTATTTAGGATTATCATGGTGAATGTCACCCCCATGAGACTTCCATTTGAGTCAGTAGTAGATTTGGGTTGCTAAATATCTCAAGAAATTGTATGATTTAGAATATAAGCTAGGAGCTTCTTCAGTTTTCTGTCACAGCTCTAAACTGCTCTTGCTTTTCACAGTAAAGTAATGGTTGGTGATTTCATATACTGTGTTTCCAAGTGTTGCTTTTTCCCCCTGACGCTTTGCATTCTATCAGTTTCCCTGTAAGATACAGAGCTTGGACTTAAAGGTTTGCAAATTGGGGAAGCTTAAAACAACGTGATGAGAAATGTTTCTGAGTCTGGAAAGAGACTTCGTATTTGACACAGCGTTTTTGCTTCTCAGAAACATTTATGTCTTGTGTGGCTTTTGAAATGGTTAGTCGAGTGCCAGATAGTAATAGCTCCACACTTTTTTATTTCTGGTTTTGTATTTGCAGCAGACTTCCGACTTCAATGTGTTGCTACCTTTCTGTGGCAAAATCTGCTTGTTTCCTTCCAAAGGAAAATGGGCACGTGTAGAGGTAAGAAGTATTCAAAAAAACAGCTACAGTTTCCCCACGTAGAAATGTCCCTTTCTTTTTGTTCAGTTCAGTCTGAATTTTTGGTTTCCATGAAACATTTTATAGTGTGTGTCAGTGAGGTTTTAAACCTCAAAATTATGCTCTTGGTTTCTTCTTTCAGATAAAAATTATTCACACTAGACGGGCACTGGATGTGCAGTTCATGGATACTGGAACAGTTGCAACTGTGAAACTATCAGAGCTCAGAGAAATCCCACCACAGTTCCTGAGAGAAGTAATTGCAATACCTCCTCAGGTATAAAGATGTGTTGTAGCCTAACCTATATTAGTTCTCTTGCCAGTGTCTGTAGTGCTGCTATTTCAAGTTTTATGTAATGAAATTTTGTTTTGTTTCGTAGCATTCAGCATTGCAGTGTATTTCATTGTGCATCTCTGAAATAAATCGCAGTGCAGTCCTGTGTATGGACAGTATGTTGTGTATGTTTGATGGCACTGGTTTTGCATGTTGGCCCCGTCCCGTTCTGTGTATCATACATTGTTGAGTCTGCCAGCATTGTCCTGTGAACTGGGACTTGTGGACTAGTTTTCGTATTTCTAGATTACACCTTGTGTACTTAATTCTGTTCTTAGGCTGTAAAATGCTGCCTGGCAGATCTGCCTCCTAACACTGGCATGTGGACTCCAGATGCTGTACTGTGGCTGAGAGACGCTGTAATGAATTGCCCTGAATTTAGCATGAAGGTAAATAGTCAAAATGCCTATGGGACTTGAAATCCATAGGCGTGGGAAGAGAGCGTTGGAAGAACAACTTTAAGAAATTTAAAAACTCACCAAATTGATTTTTGTTACAGAATTGTACAAGTTTAAAACCAGCTATTGGACATAAATTCTATACTGAGTCCTTTTCTTAGGACATTTGACATAAAACTTACTTGCCTAAGCGTTTTAGCATCTTCTCCTTTCCCCACAAGGGTTTAGCAACTTTCACAGCAGCTTTTCACATTCTACTGTCCAAGTCCAAATATGCAGCCAGAGTTATTTTACCAGCTGATAAGAAAGAAACACAGTTGTTCACATTTCAGCACATAAAAATATGCAACTTTTGAGTTAATCTTGAATTACTTTTATGCCTCTTATGAGCATAGCTTTTTCTCCTTCTGCTCTTTTGAAAGCAGCTTTATTTTTTTGTTTACTTTTTCTAATCAAGTTTGATTTCGTATGTGCTTTGTATACTTAGAATTTTTATCTTTGAGATAAAATTATTTCCATTTGCACTGTATCCTAGCCAGTTCAGTTAACTGAAAATACCCTTCTTAAGGAAATCCATTTCTAACTACAGACTAAACAAAACTAATTTCCTCAAAAATTTTATTCCAGATACTGTCAGAGCACTTTGAAGAAGTGCTTTGTAGCTTTCCTTAACTTTTTTCTTGCTTTGGTCTGAGACTTAATGCCTGTTACATCTGGCTCTTCTAAACGTCCTCTTCCAAGAGAGTTTGTGTTTGGTGCTAATTTTTGCTGGATTAAATAGTAGACAGCAGATGTGTGCTTTAATTGTGGAAAGTTTTTATTCCTGGCTAGGAGCATCAATGGAATAATCTCTAAAATGTTACTTACTTTCTCAAATTAAAATTTCAGTGCTTTACTATTAATAATGCTAGCATATCTGTTGTTGACTAGGAAATATTTTTATGTTGGTTCTTGAAAATTATGCATGATACAAACCTGGAAGCTTTGTTTGTCTTTATTTTTTTCCCATCCTTAATTTAGTAGGCTTCACTTCCCGTAATGGCAGGAAGATATTTTGAAGGATCATGTGGGAATATTTAATAGTTGTTTAGATCTGTATGGACACTGGCTACTGTTCTTCTGAAAACTAGAATTGTATAAACCAGTATTGGGATTGAACCTGTTGGGCAGAACAAAGCTCAGTTCAAGCTTTGTACTTGCTTTACATGAGTGGAATAGCTGCAAATGCTCTTTTTATCTGCTGTGATTGGTCTACTATCCACAACTTCTTTAATGTTTTTGGGAGAATCTTAAAAATACTTCTGTGCATAAATGCAATGAACTGTTGCCGCTTTAGTCTTCATTACAAAGTCAGATTTGCGTTTAACAGTTACTAACTGGATATTAAACTGTATTTTGTGTTCCAAGGTGATTAAACAGGATGGTTCAAAGGGAATTGCACACGTTTACTTATTTGCTCCAGAGAATTTTCCAGACGTGGATCGAAGTATCAATAGACAGATCAAAAATGCAGACTTGTGGAAGCATCAGAAAGATGTTTTCTTAAGCGTTACGCCCAGTGGGACTAGCTCCACGAAAGCTATGGGTGACGGTGTTTCAGCTCTGCAGTTAACTGGTGGGAAGCCAGAGAAGAGTTTGTCTGATTCAGCCAGAGAACCCAGCAGTGCAGTGTCTACCATCTATATGCCTCCTCCTCTACCCTTGCCAAAGCCTGGCGAGCTCATGGATATCTATGTGTCGGTGGCCTGCCATCCAGGTCACTTCATTGTCCAGCCTTGGAATGACCTCAACAATCTGTACGCCCTGATGGAAGAAATGATCTTGTACTACAGCAGGGCAGAAGAGAAACCTGTGAATATTGAAAAAAACAAGCTGTATGCAGCTAAAATTGGAGATGAGTAAGTAGATACTTAAATTACTTAAAAACAAAATCTTTGAAAGCAAGCTTAACTCTGCTAAGCTAGGCAAGCCTAGCTTTGCTTAGTCCGCATTGTTAACCAGGTGGCAGATGTCCAATGATATCTGAGAGATTAAGGGAGTAAATGAGGTTGCAGTCCCTTCCTCCTTCCAGACTGTAGTTGGAATAGTTGACTTTTATTCAGCTAAATCCAGATCTGAGAAGCCTCAGACATGGTTAAGATGTTTTGGTTGTGTATTATTTTTCCAGTGCCTTGACAGTGTGTGAATGTGAATTCAAGTTGTCTGTTCTTGTTCTCCCCCTTCTTAGGTGGTACAGGGTCATAGTGAAAGGAATCCTTAGGAACGGTTTCTTGTCAGTGTATGAGCTGGACTATGGCAAACATGAGTTTGTCAGCATTCGGAAAGTACAGCCACTCACGGATGCGTTTAGAAGACTGCCTTTCCAAGCTATAACAGCTCAGCTTGCAGGTAGGTAGCAAGCAATTTTTGCTAAGGTCTTGCATCAGTGGGGATACCAAATGAACAGAAAATGTAAAGTGGACAAAATCAAAGGTTAGTGGTATAATTGTTTTTTTTAATTGTACCTGCTTGGAGAAACATGCTTAACCTATACATGTTTGTGTCATCAAAGTAGCTCTGCCTTTCTTCTTGACAATTCTGTTTTGTTATTTGTGTGTTTCATTTAATGAAGCACTTCTCATTATCATGTGCTGAAAATGAAGGTTACTTAAACATTCAGCTTAACATTCACAGCAGCTGCTTTTTATTGTCATGAAATTTGTCGTTCCATCTGTGTGATATCTAGTATGCAAAGCACACGGTAATCAGAACTAAATGGGTTTTTGGTTGCTTTAACATAGGCAATTGTGTGGTATGAAAGTTATGATGTATCTGTTGATAAGAATCAAATGTTCTGATTATCCTAGTTTACATAAAATTTTGAATTTTCCAGTGTATATTTGGAATCCAAAATTACCTGAAATATATTGGGTTTTTTCAGGCAAACAAAAGACTCTACAAGAGAAGTGAGGGCTTTTAATAAGCTTAAGTAAGATTAATTTCTTTGAGAATATGAGGCATAGAGAGTATGCATACATCTGAGACAATTTAAACAAAAAAAAAAAAACTTGATCTCTTCTTGCTGTCTTTTCCAAATTTTTCTTTCATTTCTGTGTCACTTTCGGATATATGCATCTTGTTGGAGTTAGTTCCTGCTTTCTGCCACTGTTTGGTCAGCACTAGTCTAGATTTCAGTCACAGAATGTGCCTGTTGGAAGTGACAGGCCACAGGGTTGGTGCTCTGATCCTGGTTTTCCTTCTGTGGATCTGTTTTCCTGTGTGGCCTCAGTGTGACTAGTGATGATGGGTGTGTTACCGACAGGCTGGGTCCTGGGAGTGCAGTGCTGTAATGAAGCTGATTTCTAGCTGTGTCTGTCTTCTGGGGTAGTACAGGATCCAGCTGAGCCAGCCTGCAAGCCATCCACTTTTCCTGCTTCGCAGAGTCCCCCAGGTAGCTAGTTAAGTTTGCCTCTGAGATGCTTCATATTGTCAAAGCAGGCCAGCTGAGCCTGGAAGACCGGTAACTATTGTCTTGCTATTCTTTCACTTCTTTCTCTCTGTTTTCACGTCTCCCACCTCTTAGTCTCTGGTTTGTTCCCTTGTAAAATCCCATTTGCTTCCACAGCAGCCTTTCCTAGCATTAATCACCCCTTCTTAAGTGTTGATTAACTATTGGCTTCTAATTCCTTCTGTAATCTGCAGGCAGCTGTGTTCCTGTGTTGTCCTATTAGTGGCAAGCTGCTGCTAATAGTAGAAGCAAAGTATTGTCACTTTGCTGTTCTGCTTCTTTTACCCACAAGCTGTTTTTTTGTGTATTTCTGCATGATATTTGAACCCCTGTGTCTAAATGTTGTGCAGTGGCAGTAGCCTGGGGAGACTGAATCCCAAATCTGCATGAACCACTTCTTTCTAGCCATATTTAAAAACCTGTTTATGTTCTAGCAGACTTGACTTTGTGGGATTTTGAGACTTTGCTTTGCTCTGACTTTGACTTTGCTCTGAAAAAAAAAAAAAAATAAGAGCAGTTGTGAGGCATTTAGGCAGCATTTTAATTCGTTTCTGCGCTCTGCAGAAATTTTGGGACTTGAAGGTTTGGTTGATGTTTTAGTAGCTGATGCTGCTGTGAGATGAAGAAAACTTAATCTGAAGGAAGGCCAACAGGGCAGATAATTTCAGCATTCTCGGGCTGAAGACAAAGAAATTTTGTTTCGAAGGGAACTTTCAAAAAAGGTTCCTGATATGCCCTGGTCATGCAAGGCAGCTGATATACTTTGAATTTCTCAGTGAGTCAGTGCATGTGCCTTTCACTCTCCATATCTTTAGACTTCAAGAAAAAATAAATGTCCTAGTCTGTGTAATAATTAACCTTGTTTGCGTAGGAGGTGAGTGAGCTTGTGTTTCTTTTCTAGATTTAAGTTGCATTCATTAGCACTTGTTTTCTCAAGTATTTAAACACACACCACTTCTTTATAAACTTAATAATTCAGATTGATCTAGTCTATAAATGACCTTCTGTTTTGCTTTACATTTGTCCTAGGAGTGAAAAACCAGCAGTGGTCAGAAGAGGCATCAATAGTGTTTCGGAATCTTGTAGAGAAGAAACCCTTTGTGGCACAGATACAGGCAGTTAATGAAAGCACTAACCCTTGGGATCGAAAAATAGTGACTTTTCTCGTGGACACATCTCTTCCACATATTGATACGTGGATTCATGATTTTGTGTCACAAAGTCTTGTGGAATTTTCAAAGGGTGATTAATCACAACTTCTGAAATGTAGCTGCTTAGTGATGAAATAAGTAACAGGCTTTGAAGAGAAATATAACTACTACATGGCCTTGAAGACATAATGGGGATAAAACTGAAATATCTGTGTTTGTTTAACAAGTTTGGTTTCTGTTGACTTCAGTTGATTTTTTGAAAATTTTCATGTTGTTTACCATTGTAATGATAGAATATTTAGGTTAAAATATTTAAAAAGTTATTTATCAATAAAACAATGTTGAATTTTGTTCTTGTGATCATTTCCTAATTTTGGAGGGTTTTTTTAATCTCGTATTATTGCTCAGAGCCACTTACTGGGTAGTCCTCCCTTTAACAAATATTTTTATTACTTCTGAATCATGGATGTAGTCCTCAATATTCCTGAATTTATTATCAGAGACATGCATTTTTGGTGAGCTTTTCCCCTTCCTTAACTTCATAAGCATTGAGTAGTGCCTTGTTTGAGATACTGCATTTGTGGAGCTTAATATTCACGGAAGGGTTTGCGCTTTGTGTGCTCACTAGTCTGTTTGCTGTTCTTTAGCAATGATACCATTTCTCTGAATTCTCCTCTCCCCTTCTCACCCCACCAGTTGCTACATGTGAAGCATTCCTTTCCCACTTTTTTGATGGCTCCTTTTCATGTTTGCTTCTGAGAAACTTTCAAGGACTGCTCCCTGGAGACAGGAGCAAGCAGAGTCTTATAAGCACATGCATGGGTGTTTAAAGTCCTCTGAACATGATATTTTTGGACTACTTGAGAACTTACTTAATTTTTTGCCTTAGAAATATTTAGAGGAGGTGTAGACGTGGTTATTTTTCGTAGTCTGCTGCCTAGATTTGAGTTTGCTTGACGTAGTTCCTTCAGATTGTTAAGCACCATATTAAAGCTTTATGCGGTGAATGCCAGCAACGGGATTTTTTCTGCTGTCCTTGGTTATATAACATTTCTAGTGGTGCACAAGCTGGACCAAGAAATTCTGCCCACGATGCTGTTTGCAGGAGAACGGGAGACTGGACAGAAAGGAAACCAAGACTGAATGGTGAGGTGCATGTAACATTAGGATGGGAGAGAGAAAAATGCATACAAATACTCTGAGTAAACATTTTAAGCATGTAAGACTTTTGCAACCTCTTAGTCTAACTCTGGTGCAGTTCTGGAGAAGGTCTGAGCTAAGCAGCAAGGAGTCCTCTTGGGAGGCTGGTGAGTGTCTTCTGCCTGGACTGTATGCAGGGTATAGCAGAGCCCTAATGAATTCAGTGGGCAGTGGTAAACTAACAAACTGCTAATCTAATGCAAATTGCTACTTAGCGTGGTCCTCTCCGTATTTGAGTATGCTGAGGTTTGAGACAAGATCTTAAGTGTACTTGTTGAGAGAGGTAAATTAACAATGAAGATACTAATATTTTTCCATATTAATCAACTTCTTCTTCAGCTGCCACAGCAGAGTAGGTGAAGAATGCAGGTGAGGGGATCCTTGTGGGGGTGAACCACTGTAGGATAAACTTCCATGCAGAAGTTTCCCTCTGCATACGATATATTCTAAGCCTGAAAATTTGAATGACAGAGGACACTAGGATGAGACAAGCACTTCCCTGAGCTCCTGAAGGGAGTGAGAGTTTACCTGTGTGTCTAGGAGCACATGTCACCCTCATTCTCAGTCATGCAGTCTGTAGCCATTGTAAGTCAGAAGCCATTGTATTGGCACAGGGCGTTTTGATTGAGCTATTTTGAAGTTTGGTTTCATGAGAAATAGCCATGCTGTGTTTGCACCCTTTAAGGCCTGGGAATCTGCTCTTTGACAGAAGTTCATTTGCACTCAAGATGGTTTTTGAGCTTGTCTACCCCTTCTGGAACACGCCTCCTCCCATCCTTGGTTTTCAGTGGCTAAAAAGCCCAGATCAGAAGTTAAGTACAACATTCCAGCGGTCTCACAGCTCAGTACTGGAGTTCACATGGGTAAAACAGAGTGCAGTGTAACTGGTGAGCAAACCCAGGGGCACCACTCTCCATGTGGTGAATTGTTTTGTGCCTGCATGGAACATACACCCAAACCCAAAGTTAACACGTTGCTGCATTCAGTTCATACACCGTATCCAGAGAGGCTGCATGGAGGTGTCTCCCCATTCCACTCTGCAGGACAAACCCTCTCCTCAGTGTCTCCAGTACTAGTCCATTACACTACAGGTACTCTGCTGTTACTGCTGTCTCCTTATACTGTGGTTTCGTTTGCAGAACTATGATTTTACACCTGTTTTTAATGTTACTCGATCACCCACTGACCAACCCCTAAGATTCTCTGATACACTTGCTAATTGACCTGCTAGTGCTCTTGGAGTACGTTTTGTGCTCTGCTTTGAAAAACGTGCAGAAGGTGTTGACTGTTCACAACAGTGAACGCTTTGGGTTTGCTGAAGTTTTTGAACCACAAAATAGCAGAATTGGTAGATAGTCTGTGGATCCCAGGAGGCATTAGGCTGCTCTGTGTAAGCTGTGTAAGCACACAGAATGCTGCACAGTTTTTAGCTGCAGTTTTTCAGCAGTCTGTGTTCCAGGGCGGTTGTGAATGGTTTCTCTGCTTTCAAGAATGCATGGCACTTCACCAGGACCATAGCCTGTGTCTGAATCCAGCAGGTGGTGGAGTTAGTTTCACATGATTTTTCCCTTCTGACAGCTGTTAGAAAGGCCTCCACTGGAACCCTGCATGCAGGGCATTGTCCCATAGGAAAGATGTGGATTATTCACAGAGGAACCAGATGAAAGCAAGAACAGTGGAAGTCTAGATAGTCTGATTTAAATAGTAGGATTTGTAATTAGTCTGAATAGAAGAAGGATAAGGACGGGAACATTTTTGAAGTTGTCACTGTTAACTGTTTTATATATAAATAAAATAAGGCATGTAAAAGCTTGAATTGAAGAAAGGTAAGTTTAGATTGGGTGTCAGACCGTCTTTCTAAATAGAGGGGCAAAGCCTAGAAATTCACTGGAACTCCGGTTTCATTATAAATGCCAAAACCACGTAGGATGTATCTGAAGAAGCCCAGCTTATCCTCCCTTGCAATGTGGATATGGAATGTGTAATTCTTGGGACCTCACCCAGGATAACTTTCGAAACAAAAAAAGAGAATGCAACTTTGTTAGACGTGTTTTGTGGATCATGGTGAATTTTGTAAAGTGGAAATTGAGCATTCATTACCTGGGGAAACAGATGACACTGTAACAACTAAAACAGAGCAGATCTCTTACTTTCCCAAGGCTGTGAACAATAAGCACTTTCAAATCACCTCTTTTCTGTTTATTCTGTCTCCACTGTATTTTGTTAACTTTACAAAGTTATATTTTACCTGTTCTCATCTCACAGTGTGTTCACCCTGGGTCATTTTGAGGAGCTCTTGTTTCATCAGAGAAATGTGAGAACCCTCTTTGCCATCCCAAAATAAATTCTTATCTCCAAGGTTTCCACTCCCAGACTCCTCTTTCCCCATTTGGGAAGAATTTTGTTGCAAGGATCTTTTATCTCTGTGTTTTCACCACACTCATCCTTTGTCCTCACAGTTGTTGTGCATCAGGCAAAACGTGGAAAGAGCCTACATTCTCATGTACTGCTTGTATTGGACAAGAAAAGTGAAGGAGAGTCATGCAATGAAAAAACCACCACTTTAGACCTTCATAAAGCTTGGGATCTTCCTTTTGTGTTCTTTTGTTCTTTGCTGATATTTTCAGATTGGACTGGAACTCTTAAACAGGAGAATTTCCCTGCCCTGTGAAGTTAGAAGTTGGCTAGGGCAGGAGGTTGTGACCTGAGCAGGCATGGTTCGAACATGCTGAGCCACTTCCTCGAGAGCCAGCGTGTCGTTAGTGAAACACAGTGCCTTGTGAAAAGTGCTGCATGGTGCGTGACACACTTCATTCCTGCAGTGTGTCACGACAGACAGGTGAAAAGGTGTCACTGATACACTGAAAACAAATGTGCTGAGAAGCTGCGTTATTGTCTCGCCTGATGGCCAAGTGCGTTCTGAAGGAACTGTAGCACTCACCTTGGATGAGCTGCTGGTGCACACAAAGCTAGATCTGAGAGCAGCCAGATGGGATAAAAAATAAGTGGTTATGTATCTCAGAGTGCAAAACCAATATGGCCTTAGTAGAGAAGCTTGGTGGTACCAGTGGATCCCTTCGTGAGCTGCTCTCAGCTGGCACACCCTTGAGGAAGGGGGATGGTAAGCGGGTGGCATAGGCACTGGTGTCTGGGTTTATCTGGTCTGGTACCAGTCAGGCTTCTTCAGCCTGAAGAAACTCAGGCATTTGTGGGAAGTGGGTATTTCTAAGTGTCCTTTTCTCTCCTGACAACAGCTGGGATGATGCCGGTGACCTGGACCATAATCCTGCTCACCTCAGCGAGGCATGCACTGAATCCATTTGTATTCTTCATTTGGCCCAGCTGTGAGCAGCGTTTCCAGGGCTAACTGCAGATCTTTCCTGAATGCCATGGGACATGGAACTTCAGTGCCAACCAAGTCAGCTGTATGACAAGCCATGCAAAAAAAAAACCAGGTGCCATCTCATGGAGACTGCGGGCATTTTCACATTAAGGTCATCGCCAGGTCTGGGAAGTATGGGGCTCTGGAGAAGCATTCAGATGGACTGCCCTCCTCTGATAAATCTGTGACCCTCTCCACTCTTGGTTTGTGGCTGCTGGTGGAGACTGAAGAGCAAAGATAAAGGGAAGCTTGGGAATTACACTTTCTAGGAGATTTCTTAAAAAATTATTATAGGACAAATTCATAGGGTTTTACAGTGAGTCAAAGGTGAGACAGGGGAAAGGAGAGGTGGCAGCAACATCAACACTATGGACACCATAAGACTGGAAGGCAGCTCTCCTGGGCTGATGGCAGACTTGAAGCTGCTCTAGGTAGGAAGGTGGCTGTCACTGGAGGTGTGGGGCAAATTGATAGGGAATAAAGACGGGATTAGTAGGTACTTTGATACAATAGGTGTTTGCGAGAAGTAGCTTTTATAAAGTGCCCATGCTTGCAGCTACAGGTTCCCTGCAGTGCTGGCAGTGGTGCCATCCTGCCAGAAGCATGAGTGGCTGTGACTTGGTCTGGCTGAGCCTTGGGAGTCCCCTGCACTCCCCGTCCCAGTGCTGCAGCACTCCTCCCGGGAAGGAGTTTTCCCAGCCGCAGTCTCAGGGTATTTTACAGTGGCCTGGATCCCCA